GTGAGGAGAGCTGCTTCTGCTAGACCTTTGGCGAGGCGGAACGTGAAACATCACGGGGAGTTAGGAGAAGGAGGAGGGGGGGGCAGAGGAGGAAGATAATGAGGAAGAGGAGGAGCTCTTGGGTCCTTCGGTGGTTTGAACGAAAAATGGCCTCGCTGCGCCATTTGATACGACAACGACGACGACGCAGAAGGCGACGACAAAGAAAAGGGATAATGAGAGGGGGAGACCGCTGTGTTGGGATCTCGTGGTGCGCCTCTCGGGGCCCTCTGGGAGGCAGTATTGAAGCCTCTTGGGGGTGTTTTGGGGTTCTTGGGATATTTTTGGGGCCTCTTGGGGGCCTCTTGGGGGTTCCTTGGAGCCTCTTGGGGCCTCATGGGGCTCTCTCCGGGCCTCTTGGGGCCCTCTCGCGGCGGAACATTTAGTTTTTGAATTTTTTGGGCGCCCTCTTGGGTCTCTCTTGGGGCCGTCTTGGTGCTCTCTTGGGCCGTCTTGGGCGCCTCTTGGGCGGTCTCGGAGCCCTCCTGGACCGTGTTGGGGCCTTCTCTGGGGCCTCTTGGGCAGTACTGGGGCGATCTAGGGAGCCTCTTGGGCCATTGTGGAGCGTCGGGAAGTGGGAAAAGCGGGAAGGACAAAAACATAGGAAAACACATAAGAAAATCAACAATTGTAGCCTCTCGGGGCTCTCTTGGGAGGCCTCTTGGGGGTCTCTGGGGGCGTCTTGGACGCGTCTTGGGCAGTCTTGGGCCCAGATTGGGCGTCTTGGGCCGATCTTTGGGTGTCTCGGGGCCGTCTTTGGCCGTCGTGGGGGCTCTTTTTTTTCGCGTCGCACTCCCAGGACAGGCACGGAGCACTCTGCAGGAGCGCCCCAAAGGCTTGGGGAGGCCGAAATTCGTTTTGGGGAGGGGCACCGTGTGCAGCTTTTCCGGGGTCCCCGGCCCTGTAAAAATATATAAACAGGAAGATATACATACATATATATATATATATATATATATATATATATATACGCAGCACCCCGCAGGCGCCAAAAATCCACAAATTATGCAACGAGCCCGCCGCAGGCGCCGATGTTTTCTTCGAACCAATGTGGATCGTGGATCGGTCGCGGGTGGGTCGCGGGTGGGTCCCGGGTGGGTCGCGGGGTGGGTCGCGGGTGGGTCGCGGGTGGGTCGCGAATGGGTAATGGGGTGGGTCGCGGGTGGGTCGCGGGCTGGGTCGCGGGTGGGTCGCAGGTGGGTAGCGGGTGGGTCGCGGGTGGGTCGCGGGCTGGGTCGCGGGGTGGGTCGCGGGTGGGTCGCGGGCTGGGTCGCGGGGTGGGTCGCGGGGTGGGTCGCGGGGTGGGTCGCGGGGTGGGCCGCGGGGTGGGTCGCGGGGTGGGTCGCGGGGGGGACGACAACAAATGACAACAACAAAAACAACAACAATGCAACAAGCAGAATCCTCACCGAGGATTCTCACTTCAGCCACGCACCCAGGGACAATGGATGATCGTTCGGCTCCCTCACTCTGATGTATGTATGTGTGGGTGTATGTACGTATGTGTGTATGCGTGTATGTGTGTATGTACGTACACACATCGATATGTACATGGATTCATGAGTGTATGGATGCATGTAAATTGATATATGAGTGTGTGTACGTAGCACCCCGCAATTGCGGATAAGAGTGAGGGGGCGGGCGCGGGCGACGCGGGCGTCGTCAAGCCGGCGGACCTCGTGGCCCCCACCTTCCCTGTCGATGGCGCCTTCCTCCTCCTCCTCCTCCTCCTCCTCCGCCTCCTCCTCCTCCTCCTCCTCCTCCTCCTCTTCCTCGTCCTCGTCCTCGTCCTCATCGTCATCGTCGTCCTCCTCCTCCACCTTGTCCTTCTCCTCCTCCTCCTCTTCTTCCTCGTCCTCCCTCTCCCCCCCTCGTCCTTCCATCATCGTCCTCCCATTGTCGTCATGTTCCTCGTCGTCGTCCTCCACTTCCCCCCCTCCCGATCCTCCCCCCTCCTCCTTTTCGTCGTCGTCGTCGTAGACGTCGTCGTCGTCGTCGTCGTCTCCTTCCTCCTCCCCCTCCTCCTCCTCCTCTTCTTCCTCCTCCTCCTCCTCCTCCTCCTCCTCCACCTCCTCCTGCAAAAGCAGCCCGCCGCAGGCGCCGAAAAATTTGGTTTGTACACTGAACGTGGTTTGGGTCGCGGGTGGGCCGCGGATTCTCCACCGGGAACGAATGCAAAAGATGCCCGCCGCAGGCGCCGAAAAAATTGGTTTGTACCCTGAACGTGGTCGCGGGTGGGCTGCGGTCTCTCCACCTAGAACGAATGCAAAAGATGCCCGCCGCAGGCGCCGAAAAATGTGGTTTGCACTCTGAACGTGGTTTGGGTCGCGGGTTGGTCGCGAGGGTGGGTCGCGGGCTCTCCACCTGGAAGGAATGCAAAAAAAGCCCGCCGCAGGCGCCGAAAATGTTGGTTTGTACCTTGAACGTGGTTTGGGTCGAAGGTGGGTCGCGGGTGGGTCGCGGGGTGGGTCGCGGGGTGGGATGGGTGGGTCGCGGGTGCGGTCGCGGGGGTCGGGTCGCGGGGTGGGGGGGTGGGTCGCGGGTGGGTCGCGGGTGGGTCGCGGGGTGGGTCGCGGGGTGGGTCGCGGGGTGGGTCGCGGGGGTCGCGGTCGCGGGTGGGTCGCGGGTGGGTCGCGGGGTGGGTCGCGGGGTGGGTCGCGGGTGGGTCGCGGGGCGGGTTGCGGGTGGGACGACGACAACAAACAACAACAACAACAACAAACAACAACAACAACAACACGAATCCGCACCGCGGAATCCCACTTCAGCCACGCACCCAGGGACAGTGAATGACCGTTCGGCCCCCTCACTCTGATGTGTATGTGTATGTGAGCATGTATATATCGTTGTATGTCTGCTTGTATGTATGTATGCATATGAGTATGTGAGTTTTTATCATATATGTATGATTGGATGCATGCATGTGTGCATGTATGTGTGTATGTGTGTATGTGTGTACGTACGGACGTACATATGTATGTATGTATGCATGTATGTATGCATGATCGTATACATGGTTTTGTGTATGTTTGTATGTGTTGTGCGTACGTGTGTATGCATTTATGTATGTATGCATGTATGTGCGGGTGTGTACATGTGGATGTAGGCATGTGTGGTGCGATCGGCATGTATGGCATGGGTGTAGCATAGTATATATCTACATAAATATGTATATGCATGCATGCATGCGTGCATGCATGCATGCACGCATGTATGTATGTATGTATGTATGTGTGTGTATGCATGTATGTGTAAATGCATGTATATCTGGATGTACGTATGTATATGTGCACGTGTGTATGTATGTACGTATGTGTGTATGCATGTGTGTATGTATGTATGCATGGTTGTATGTATGTATGTTTATATGTTTGTAAGTACAGATGTATGTGGTATTGTATGTATACATGTATGGTTGTACATGTGCTTATATGTAGGTATGTAGTGTATATACTTGAATCACTCTTCCTACATACATGTAAACATGTGTATATATATGTGTATATATATATGGTGTGCATATGTGTAGATGCATCGGTGCACATGTCTTGAAATATAGCGTCAAAACTCTCTCCCCCGCCAGCAGGGAGGGCTACAAATTGCCGCGCCGCCGGGCAAGGCGGAACCCCAGCGCTGCCGCGCGCCACCGGGCCAGCGCGCTATAAATGCTTCGCCTCCCCCACTGGCAAGGCGGAATACAAATTGCTGCGCCGCCGGGCAGGGCGGTATCCCAACGATGCACCGCGCCACCCGGCCGGCGCGATAGAAGTGCTGCCTGTCTCCCCCGCCCGGCAGGGCGGTTTACAAATCCTGCCGCTCCTTTCCCCTTTGGCGCGGGGCAATCCGCCTGTCTCCCCCCCCCCGCTGGCAGGGCGGTTCAAAATTATTCAAGCGCCTCTTCCTGTTCCCCGCTGCGGGGCGAGGCCGCTTGACCTCCTCCTACCCCCCCTCCTCCCCGTTCTTCCCATGTCGTCGGCGGCCTGTCCCCTCCCCGCCGCGTCCCCCTCCCGAGGCACGGTCTCCTTTCTCGTGCGCTGCCCACCCTGCGGGCCTTCGGCCGCCCCCGTGGTCCCCTCCATGGCCCCCCCCCCCCCTGCCTCTGTGTTGTGCCCACCTCGTCCTTCTCGCATCCCTCCTCGAGGAGGAGGGGGAGGAGAGGGAGGAGGACGCGGAGGAGAGGAGGAGGAGGACGAGGAGGAGAAGGAGGAGGAGGACGAGGAGGCTGACGCCATCCCCTCTCCGGACCTTGCCTTGCTCTTGTGGGCGTGCGGTGCCTCCTTCCTCCCCCCCGGCTCCCCCTCCTCCGCCGCTCGGCACGTGCCCCCCGCCTGCGTCTGTCTGCTCCCTCGGCCGCCTGGCTCCACCCTCCTTGTGCTTGGCCCCCCTTAAGCCCCTGCCTTCGCCAGCCCCTGGTCGTCCTGCTCCTGGCCGGCTGTGGCCTTCGACCGCGCGGGTTCCTTGCTCGCCGCCTCGGCTGCTGCTGGGCCGGCTGCTGCTTCCACTTCCCCGCGAGGGGCCAGCTGACCGGCGCGCGCGCGCGGCGCGCGCGCGCGTCTGACGGTGTGGCGAGTCGCTCCCCCGCTAACGCTCGGAAAAGTGTGTGTGTGTGTGTGCGTGCGTGTGTGTGTGTGTGTGTGCGTGTGTGTGTGTGTGTGTGCGTGTGCGTGTGTGTGTGTGTGCGTGTGTGTGTGTGTGTGTGCGTGTGTGTGTGTGTGTGTGTGCGTGTGTGTGTGTTTGTGCGTGTGCGTGTGTGTGCGTGTGTGTGGCTGCGCATGGCTGCGGTTCAGAACGCGATCTCCAGTAGCATGCCCCAGCTGCTTGATTTCCCCATCCTCGTCATCACATGCCGCCGACGATGCACCAACACCCTCAAGCTACCGCAAACACGAAGAGATGAAAGAAGACGAGGCGGAGCAGGGGATTGGCAGAAGGCGGGAGCGAGCGTGAGCTCTGGTGAGGGCCTTCTGCACTGCCTCTAATGCCTTCTGCTCGAAATCCTCGAACTTCTCCCGCGTGGACTGCACCGATGGAGGCGGTGATGCTGCCTGTTGCTGGGAGGTAGAAAAAATAACTACACATTGAAGAAACGCAAGATGGTTGCCCAAGCAAGGGCCAATACATCGGCATCCGCACGGAAACTGACACATGCATATATAGTGTTTTGTGTAAACATGCGTATAGACTATGTAATGCAACGGTCACACATACTTGGGGTTTTGTTTTGCAGCACTGTGAGAATCTTATGCGCGCATGTGCACGGCTCGAATCGAGGCGCACTGTGCATCGTGTGTCGGCGCTGGACACGTGCGTGGATTTGGTGGGCTGTGCGGGGAAGAAGGGGGGGATTGGCGATTGAGCTCGGTACTAGGAATTATCCTGTGTACCTTTGTGTGAATGGTGGTGTAAGCCATCAGCCTTCACCATGCACCCAGGCGATCTTGAAGGGCTCTTGGGCCGAAACAGCGAGACGGCTAAAAACAATCGGACACCTCCAGCAGATATTGGATGCTTGCCTCTTGGGGGTCCCTTTAGAAGTCCTTTTGGAGACCTCCTGAGCACTTGGGAATCGAGGCCGTCCCGATGACATCGTCGGCAATCTTGACGTGCTCTTGGGTCGGCTCAGGGCCCTCATGAACTGTCTGTGGGCCCTCTTGGGATCCCCTTGGGCCGTCTTGGAGCGCCGTACGGGGGAACAACACGAAAGAAGAAGAAGGCAGGCTGACAATAGTAGGACGTGCGGGGCTTGGCGAAGATATTGAACAAACTACACACGAGCATCGACCAACTTGGCATACGGCCGTCAACACCCACTCTCTCGGTGGCGGCTGCAGTGTTTCCGGGCGGGGAAGCCAGCCCGAGCAGGGGACAGGTGCCTATTGAAGCTGCCCTCCATGACCGGTGGAGGGGTTGGGGAATGCCGACGGTGCACCCGCGACTGTGCACGAGCCGATGGCCGGGGCCAGAGGCCCGCATGTACCCGTGCGCCCCTGGGGGCGGCGGAGCGGGCGTGGGCGGGTGGAGGGTGCGATGAACATGCTTCGCCAGACCGCTTCCAATACGAGTGAAGGCCCTGGGGCAGTATAGCTTTATGGTGGACTTAGGAACACTGGCCTTTGGTGGGCAATACTTGTCTCCGGATCTGTATGTGCATTGCTCACTTGTCTCATGTCAACGATTCCTCTCGCGGAGGTGGGGGACAATAACAATGGTAGGACCGAACAGAAGAACATGAAGTAACCGAGACTGGTCTTTAGAAAACCCTTTCCTCAATAGTAGAAACAACCCCTATATTCGGCGACCTTCTTGACGGACTGGGGGGCCCCACCAATAATGGAAACAACGTGTTTCTCACCGGTACCCGCCGCACAACGACAACGACGACGGGACGCAGGATGAGATTGTGAGCAATGCCCTCGGCGAGAAATGTGTCGATCTGTATATATATACACACGCATATATTGCGATCCTCTTGCAGACGTGCTCACAATTGCTCTGTCGTGCAGGCACGCCAAGGAAGCGTTACTCCCTGGGAGAAGGGGGATGTCAAAGACTTCTACCTCTGCGGGACAGCCGTCGAGATTTCCACGGCGGTGCTGAGCCTATGGAGCCCCGCAAGCCCAATGAGAGATATTCTGAAGCGTGTCGTAATTTTCTTGCTGGGAAACGAATTCAGGGATGGTCCTTTCAAGACGTCGGGGAACCTAACCTGATTGGTGATTGTGGGGTCCGGAATGGGCCTCCCCCATTCGGGGGACTTGGCTGACAGCGCGCTGCTGGCCAAGATAGAGCTCGACATGATCGCCCCGTCACGCGTGACTTCGGTGGGCGTTGCTGCTTACCTTAGGTTCTGCGATGACATTATTCTGATCGGTAAGGGGCTGGCGCATGTGCAGAGAAAAGCAGACTTCTACAAGCTCGCAATAGAGTGGGAGTGGCAAACCATCCATGTTCTGGAGGTCAACGTCAAACGAGACAAGAATATTGCTGCTTCCCACGCTCTGAAGACCGCAACTCTCTCTCCCTCCCTCTCCCCCTCCAGTGCGCACCCAGACCATGTACATACCAGCTGGCCCAAAGCACATGTTCACAAAGTCCATAGTTTATGTAGTCCTGGCCTATTCCCCTCGGCTATCCGACATGTTCTTAGGCAGCATCGGCTCTCTCATGCAAGCAGCGTCACTACACAGGTCATTGAAGATATGTGCCGCGCCGTGCAAGATCGGCAATCGCCGAGGTGCACCGTGCGACGCAAGCGCGTTCATTTCTACAGGCTGGTGTTATGACCCAACCCGCACTAGTTAGCGGAATTCGGGGGGCACTGCGATCTATCAACAACGACCGTGTTCTTGAGTCTTGGTTTGGTCAGGCCTTTCGTGCGCGAATTGGGCAGAGTCCCCAAACCATCGCCTTAACCTGAGCCAGCTCGGCCCCCTCACTGTTCAATCGCTTGCAGAGAATGACCTACAATACAGTGCAGTAGCGGTTAAGGTAGGTAGGTGGTTTGCTATTGCTGCTGGGCTACGCCGTGAACTCGCGGATAGGCCGGCACACCGAAACTAGCTATTACAGCAGTGTCCAAAGTGTGAATGTACATTCGTGTATCATTCATATTGTTTGGCTTGCTGATTGGCAGCAACGTCCAAGACGGCCATCCGCGCAGCTTCAGCACCGTAGTTTTTGGCTCGAGCTTCGAGCTGAGCAGGCCTTAGAACCTGTCCGCGCACGCAACCGCGCGGAGGCACGAGCTGAGAAAAAGCTGATCCCCTCCTCCAGCATTTCCTTGGGGGTTGGTGGAGGGTGCGATGAACATGCTTCGCCAGACCTTTTCAAATTCGAGTGAAGGCCCTGGGGAGATGTGTCCTTCTGGCGGCCTCGGGAAGACTGACTTTTTGTGGGCAATGGTTGTCTTCGGATCTATATGTGCATTGCTTAATAATCTCATGTCAACGATTCCTCTCGCGGAGGTGGGGGATAAAAGCAATAATCGAACCGTACAGAAGAATATTAGGTGACCGCGACTGGTCTCTAGAAAACCCCTTCCCAATAGTACAAACACGCATTTACATTCGTCGACCTTCCTGACGGACCGGGGCCCCACAACTAATGGAAACAAACTATTTATCCGCGGCACTCGCCGCACAACGACGACGACGACGACGACGAGATGCAGGAGGAGATTGTGAGCAATGCCTTCGGCGAGTAATGTGTCGATCTGTATTGCGATCCTCCTGCGAGCGTGCTCATAATTGCTGTCGTGCAGGGTCGCTCAGGGAGCACCTTGCCCTGGGAGAAAGACCCCCCCCAACATTATCCAGCCCGCACAATAATACAGAGATGCAAATCTCCGCCCCGACGACGACTACGACTACGACTAAGCCTACGATTGCGACTACGACTACGTCTACAACCACGACTACGATTACGATTCCAATCGCGACTACAGTCGCGATTGCAATCACGATTCAAATCACAACTACAATCACGACTAAACTACAAACCGCTGATTCCTATTGAAATCATCATGAGAAAATCCTCGCGGATCCTCTCGGGCGCAGGGTCCCCCACAATGGATTCGCCCCAACATGGTCCAGCCCGCCCAACAATCTAGGGAAAACATCTCCGCCGCGACGCCGACGACAACGACGACTACGATAACGGGAACGAGAGGGAGCAAGAGGAGCAGGATGAAAAGGGGAGGAGGAGGAACAGGATGAATAGCGGCGAGTTTGTTCTCCGCCGAAAGAAAATCGGGAAGGTCTTCAAAACTGAAGACCCCTCGAGGTCAAGAAAAACATATTCAATGCAAGGAATGCCGACAGGAGTATATGCATACATCGTCATCTACACATCTATCCCAATTTGCAACACAGGGTGCGACGTTCCTGTGATCATGTCTCTAAGCGTGCAAGCCCACGAGAGCAGGACGTTCTCACACTGACCCTGCGTGAGTTGCTTACGTGGGGCCCTGAGGAGCATGCCATTGCTGTTCTTGTCGCCGTTGCCCCGCGACCACTCGTGCGACACCCCTGGGACCAGGCGCTGCCGATCAGCGCGAGGAGAGGAGGAGGAGGAGGAGGAGGAGGAGGAGGAGGAAGAGGAGCTCTTCCTCCCCCAAGGCGAGAGGGGGGCCTTCTTCGGGGAGCGGGGCGCGCTGGCCACAAAGTGGAAGGTCATGTTGACCGCCCCGCAGAACCTGAGCGCCGCGCCGCGCAGACGCCCGCGCCAGGCCAGACGCGCGGGCGTGCGGGCGACAGCGCGCGGCAACTTTCTGCCACACCCAGTTTTACGTCCGGCAGTGTTTCGACAGTGCATGACTCCGAGGACGACCCCCCAAGCGGCCGAAATCAAGAAACCAAGCAGTCTTGATTGTTGCCAAGACGCTGGAGGCCTCCGAGAAGGTTATGGAGGCCCCGAACGCAAGCCAGGTGCACGTGCGTTACACTCAAAGGCCGAGCCCTGAGTGCGAAACTTCAGTACGTTCCAAGGCGAGCTCGGACCTCTTCCAGCGCTTGTTCTGACCAAGATCTGAGGGTGAATCCAGTCGCGCGACGAGGGCTACTCTGGAGGCCAGGAAGGTCCAAACAGATACAGCAAACACCCGTACCCTCCTCCTCGTGGCCTTCCCCTCCCAGGCTCCTTCCCAAACCTCTGGGGCCACGATTGTTTCAATATGTGGGCCACTGGCACTCTCGTCCCCTCCTTCGGGGCAAATGCTTTGGCCCGGGCCGCTCCGTAATTGTCCCTGGGCCCGGAGACGAGCCTCCAAAAGCAGGGCTCACCTATCATGGTGTCAGTGTTCCGCCCCCCCCCCCCCCTCTACTGGGCCAGACAACACAAGAAACCACCCCACCTACGGCCCCAGAGGGCTTAGCGTGTACCAGGGAATCTGGCGTGGGCTTTTACGTGGTATGCGCTACGGCCCCCGATTGGCCGCAGCGCAACATGGAGGCCGTGGGTGGGGTGGCATCGCTTGTTTCTTGGTCGACCTGCGGTGGGGCCGCTTGCTGTTTTTGGTCGTCGACCTGCGGTGGGGCTCTGCCGTGACGTCGTCGGCGCCAGTCTCCGACTTTCCGACACCGCGTGGGTCGCTCGGCCTTGAACGATCAGCGCGGATCGCTCGCTGACGGCCGACTCGGGTCCACCAGCTAGGGGGCCACATGCGAACCCTACCCCTGCCCCCCACGATTTCTGAAGGGGAGGGTGGGGTTCACTTCGTTCGGGAGCTCACGAGCGAAGCGACGCCCACCCTCATCCTCAAAAGTCGTGGGGGGGGTAGGGGTAGGGTTCGCATGTGGCCCCCCCCCTACCAGCGTCGGCCTATCATCGAAAGCCCGCGCCCAGGTCGCCGTGGCCACCGCCGCGCCAGTGCCAGCGCGGGCCTGCCGCCCGCACCCCGCGCTCGTTCTCCGCCCATGTGCGGAGTCGCGCCCGTGGCTGCCGCGGCACTCCGCAACGGGGGCCCGCCCTTAAGGGCGGGGGGCGAGCGACAGATGCAGCACCTCTCCCCCCCCCTCCCCGCTCAGGATTCGCTTCCATCAGGGCCCGTTCCCCCCTGGCGGCCCCTCTCCGTTCCGCCCACAACGGCGCAGGGCGAAGCCCCCCGTCGGTGGAGCGCGTCCGGGCGGTCGAATCCGCCCAACATCGGCCATGAGGCCGCACCACCAGCATGTCAACAGAGGTCAAGGCCGGGAAAGCCCGCAGGCCGTGCAGAGTCAGGCCGGCCAGTGGGCTGAGTCACAGGAGCGTTCCGCAGAAGCGTCCTCCTCCTCCTGCTCCTGTTTGTTCGTCTTCTGACAATTATCCTTCTCCTTTTGCTCCTCCTCTTCCTCCTCCTCGTCTTCCTCCTTCTCCTCCTCCGCCTTCTCCCCCTCCTCCTCCTCCTCCTCCTCCTCCTCCTCTTTCTCCTCCTCCTCCTCCTCCTCCTCCTCCTCCGCCTTCCTCCCCTCCTCCCCCTCCTCATCCTTCTCCTCCTCCTCCTCCTCCTCCTCTGCCTCCTCCCCCCCGTCGACCTCCTTCTTGTAGGTGTTATTGATATGTCTTATTACTGCCAGTGTTCCCCGTATCCGGAGACTGTGCCTCACATGTCTTCTAGTATCCTCCTCCTCCTCCTCATCCTCCTCCTTCTCCTCCTCCTCCATTCCTTTTCCGAAGATGTGATTTCTCCCTGTCGCACCTCGAAGCCAGATTTTGTAGGGCGGGCCGGGCGTGTCGCCTGAGACTTCCTCACCATATATGACCCTAAAGCTTAACAAGTTGCACCAGCTTCACAGATGGAGGGCGGGTGGTTTTCAAAATGTGGCTCTCGCCCTAGCGCCGCGCAGATTGATTTCAAACAGTTGAAAGAACTTCGCGGATTGAGGGCGGGTGGTTTTCAAAATGTGGCTCTCGCTTTCGCGCCGCGCACGTTCCTTTAGATACTTTGCAAGAGCTTCGCGGATCGAGGGCGGGTGGTTTTCAAAATGTGGCTCTCGCCATAGCGCCTCGGACGCTCGTCGCAAACAGTTGCAAGTTCCACGGGCTCTCATGATCAGCGTGCCAGAAATGATGTTTTGGAAAGGTTCAGGGTTATGAGGGTGCAACCACGTCGAGTCGCGGTGTTGAAGTCCCCAGGCGTGGCGCTCTGGCACGATCCAAGATCGTCAAGACGCAACACGCACGTTGATCCGTGGCGTTGTAATCTTGAGAATCATGTCCTGGCATGCTTCAGGATCGGTTGTCTTCCAACGAGGCAGTTCTCTCAGTGGAACTGGTCCGTTGCAGGGGCCCATGAAGAGGAAGCTTGGAGGGAGGGCTTATTCCAACATCGTTGATGACTCTTGGGTTTACACTGGTCCTCCCCCTCCTCCTCCTCCTCCCTTCCTCCTACCCCTCCTCCTCCTCCTCCTCCTCCTCCTCCTCCTCCTCCTGCCCGTCCACATCGTTCTTCTTGTACATATTCTTGTTATTTCGTGGTACTGCCATTGTTCTATGTATCCGATGACTGTGTCTCACGTTCCCCAATCAGAGCTTGCCTCTGTAGGGGTCCTAGCGGATTTATATGGTTAGGTGAGGTGCGTCACAGATTTCCGCGGCCCGCCCGGGGGCCGGGGGCCCGGGGGCCCAAGTGCCCGAGTGCCTTATAGCCCTATAGCCACATAGCCCTATAGCGTGATAGCCTTATAGCCATACAGCCCATAGCCCATTAGCCATATAGCCCAATAGCCCGATAGCCTTATGACCCTATAGCCTCATAGCCTTATAGCCCTATAGCCCTATCGCCCTAGAGTCCTGTAGCTCTATAACCCTATAGCCCTGTAGCCATATAGCTTTATAACCCAATAGCCCTCCTGCCCTATGGCCCCATAGCCCTATCGCCCTATAGCCCAAATAGCCCAATAGCCCTATAGCCCCATCACCCGCTATCCCTACAGCCATATCGCCCTATAGCCTTATAGCCCTATAGCCGGATAGACCTGTAGCCCTGTAGCCATAGAGCTCTATATGTTTTTAGCCCTATAACCCTATAGCCCCATAGCCACATATCCATATAGGCCTATGGTCTTAGTACCCTATAGCCCTATAGCCCTGCAGGCCCATAGCCCTATGATCCTATAGTCCTGTAGCCCCATCGCCCGATAGCCCTACAGCCCTATAACCCTATGACCCTATAGCACTATAGCCCTTATAGCTCTATAGACCTATAGCCCTATGGTATGTAGTCTTATAGTTCCATAGCTCTATAGCCCCATCGATTGGAGTTGTCTCCCGAATCCTTTCTTCGTATCCTCCTCCTCTTCCTCCTCCTCCTCTTCCTCCTCCTCCTCCTCCTCCCCCGCCTCCCCCTCCTCCCCATCTACTGAATCGAAGCACCCCTGCGGCCAATCCCAGCCCACACTTTCTGGGCCTCCTTGGCGAGCGCCGGGCGGGAGCGGAGGGGCGGGGCGCTTCTGGTAAGAGTCCATCCTGCGCTCGCACGTGTCGTGGCTCAGGCCGCCGCGCCTGCGGGAGAACCGCTTCCACATCCCCTCCGCCTACTCCTGAAGGTCATGCTGCTCCTCATCGTCGTCCTCTATCTTCTCCCCCCCTTCCTTATCATCCTCGCCCCTTCCCTTCATTCTCCTTTGCTCAACAAGCAGAGAAGACCCCTAATCTTTTTTTTGGGGGGGGGCGAAGTCAGGAGGGCCAAGCACATTAGGGATAGGGGTTCTTTTCTGCTAATGGATTCAACCAAACCGCCCAGGTTTCAAACCGTTGGTGCAAGGACGGGGACCGAAGTGAGGCCACGTCTTCACTGTTATCAGGGTCAAGAGTTATTGGGTTCCCGACGATCCGTATGTTAAACTCTTCCCTGGCACTCAGTCAGACGTGTCGATAGAGCGGGCTGGCCGTTTAGCCTGAGACTTCCTCGAATGTATGATGTATGATCTAGATGTTTGACCGTCGCAGCAATTGCACTGATGCTCCGGGGGTGGAGGGGGTCAAAACGGAGCCCGCGCCGAAACGAACATAAAACAGTTACAAGGATGGACGGGGGAGAGGTCCAAGGGGGCCTCTCGCCTCAGCGCCGCGCACACTGGTCTTGAAAGCTTGCAACAGTTACAAGGATGGAACCTACATCGTTTTCAACATGGGACTCTCGCCAGAATGCCGCGCCCACTCGCCCTAAACGTATACTGCAACAGTTTCAGGAAGGGAAGGCGGCGCCTTTTGAAACATGGGCGCTCGATTTAGTACCGCGCACGTGCGTTTGGTTCGTGGAACAGCTACAAAGGTGCAACACGGATCGTTTTTCAAAAACGGTGTTCTCAGGGGGGCGCTTCTTGTAGTGAAAAAGAAGTCTTGTCTGCAGGAAGTGGACGTGGGGCTGTGTTGATGGGGCGGAAGGGTGTATTTCAGCGACGTTGGTGTATCTACAGCTTGCTGTGGTCCTACGCATCATCTTCCTCCTCCTACGTTTCCTCTGCCTCTCCCTCCTTTCCCTCCTCTTCCCTCCATTTTTCCTCTTTTCCCCTCCCTGTCGTCCTACCCCTCCCCGTCACCGTCGTCCTCCTCACCTTCCGCCTCTTCCTCCTCATCGTCCTCTTCCTCCTCTTCCCTCTTCTTCTTCTTCCTCCTCCTCCTCCTTCTCCTCCTTCTCCTCCTCCTCCTCCTCCTCCTCCTCCTCCTCCTCCTCCTCCTCCTCCTCCCCCTCCTCCCCCTCGAGCGGCGAGGCACAGTCCATGTCGCCAGCCAGTAGGCTTCGCCGCGGCTGCGCCAAAGAGGGCGAGCAGTAATTCAACCACGCCCAGGCGGCAACCAGTTTGACGAGCACAGGCAGCGCACGCGCGCTACCGCGTCCCCAGAATCTGCGCCCCCTGTTTCTCCTCCCTCCTCCTCTTTGCTCCCTTCTCCCTCCTCCTCCTCCTCCTCCTCCTCCTCCTCTCCTCCCTCCTCCATTTCCCTTTCGTCCTTCCCGCGATCATTTCCCTTCGCCCCCCTCCTCACCTCCTCCTCCTCTGCTCCCCCCACCCTCCCCCTCCCTGCCAACCATCCTCGACCTCGTCCTCCTCCCCCTCCGCCTAACCCCTCCTCCTCCTCCCGCCCTCTCCTCCTCCTCCTCCTCCTCCTCCTCCTCCTCCTCTTCCTCCTTCTCCTCCTGACAACTGATGGGCCTCCTCTTTCCCAACCATCCTGTGGTAGTGGGTCCTCGTTTTGAAGAGACAGCGCCTAGCATCTCCCTCCCCTTCCTCTCCTCCTCCCCCTCCTCCCACCCCTGCCTCTGCCCACCGCATGCCGATTCGGAACGCCCCTCACACGTTTCGTGGCCCCATGGGGAGCTCCGCCGCATGCCCCCGTGGCATAGCGCGCATGCGGCTCCCCGCCCACCGCATCTCCATTTCGGCACACCTCTCACGCGCTTCGTGGCCCCATACCTAGCCCCACCGAAGACCGCAGAGGCAGGGTTGACATGCGGCTCCCCACCCACCGCATGACCATTTCGGCGCGCCTCTCATACTTTTCGTTGCCCCTCAGGGGGCTCCACCGAATGTCCCAGTTGCATGGCTCGCATGCGGCTGCCCGCCCACCGCATGTCACTTGCGGCATCCTCACATGTTGCGTGCCCCCACAAGGAGCTCCACCGAAGGCCCCACTGGCAGGGTTCATGTGCGGCTCACCGCACACCGCGTTGCCCCGAGCTACACCGAAAAACCAAACGGCAGAATTCGCATGCGGCTTCCCGCCCTCAGCATGTCCATTTTGGCACGCCTCTCACACGTTTCCTGGATCCATCGGGGGCTCAACCGAATGCCCCAGTGCCATGGCTCGCATGCGACTCTCCGCCCATCGCATGTCAATTACGGCGCACCCCTCACACGTTGCGTGGCCCCACAGGAAACTTCACCAATGGCCTCAGAGGCGAGGTTCACATCGGGCTTCCCGCCCAGCGCATGTCCATGTCGGCACGCCTCTCACGTTTTTCGTGGCCCAATGGGGAGCTCCACCGAAGGCCCCGGTGGCAGAGATCGCATGCGGCTCCCCGCCCACCGCATATCAATTTCGGCACACCCTTCACACGCTTCGTGGCCCCATAGGGAGCTCCACCGAAGTCCCCATCGGCACAGTTCACATGCGGCTCCCAGCCCACCGCATGTCCCTGTCGGCGCAATCCTCACATGCTTCGACGCTTCGATACTCACATCTGAGTTACTCAGAATTGCTTGATTCACCAACTGCATATGACGGGCGATAAAATTGGTCGTGCGCGAGATGGAACAGCGACCTTACGCAGTGGCGTATGCGGGCCGCCAGTGCTGCACGCTGCAATGGAGGCGAGCGCGCTCACGCGCGACCTTACGCAGGCAACTTACGCGCAAATGTTGGCGCAAACGATCCGATTTTTCGCGTCGCTCATATGATTGTGTCCTTCGCCCGGGTAATTTTCGAGCTGGGCGCGATTGCCAGCGGGCGGGGAAGGACGTCGAGACCACGCTCGAGCGCGGGAAGCTTACAGAGAATGATTGGCGCTTGCAGAGGGAGTCGCTCGAAGGACGTCCGAGCTCCCAATGAGAGAACCCAAGCACGTGAGCGAGAGGCCCGTCTCGTGAGTCCGCGACCGCACTCAGTCACTCTGCTGGGCCGAGCCCAAGAACCAATTGCGCGCATGGATCCCAATGGAATCCCGTGAGCATGTGAACGGGGGACCCGTCTCGCGAGTCCGCGACGGCTCTTGACTGCGGTGGGGACTGCACGCGTGGCTGAGGGCAGCAGGCCACGAGCACGTGAGCGAGAGAGGCCCGTCTCGTGAGCCAACGACCGTTTGCTGTGCTGCTCGGGTGAGGCCGAAAACGAACGGGCGCGCACTGACTGCCGGGTGTCTGAGACCCCGTTTCACTCACGCCCCGAGGGTGTGCCCCGCCGGTGGTGGCGGCGCCGCGGCTCCTGCCACCGGAGGGGGGGGGGGCCGTATCCTGGCGAAGGACCCAAGCATCTTTGAATATCGTCCTCGGTGGAGCTCTCCATGGCCCACGGAGCGTGTGAGGGGTGTGCCGACATGGACATGCGGTGGGCGGGGAACCGCATGCGAAGCCTGCAGCTGGGGATTTAGGTGGGGCTCCCTATGTGGCCACGAAGGGTGTGAGAAAGGTGTCGGAAAGAACATGCGGTGGGCGGGGAGCCGCCACATGTGAGCAGAGCCGCTGGGGACTTCGGTGGAGCTCCCTATGGGGCCACGAAGCGTGTGAGGGGTTTGCCGACGTGGACATGCGGTGGGCGGGGAGCCGCATGCGAACCCATGCGACCGCATGCGAACCACCGGTGTTGGGTCACGAAACGTGTGAGAGGCGTGCCGAAAGTGACATGCGATGAACTGGAAGCCGTATGCGAACCCTGCCACTGGGGCCTTCGGCGGAGCTCCCCATGGAGCCGCGAAACGTGCGAGGCGTGTAGAAATGGACATGCTGAGGGCGGGGAGCCGCATGCGAACCCTGCCACTGAAGCCTTCGGTGGAGCTGCCTGTGAAGCAACGAAATGTGTGAGTCGTGTGCCGAATCGGACATGCAGTGGGCGGGGAGCCGCATGTGAACTGTGCCGCTGGAGCCTTCGGTGGCCATGCTGCGTGTGTTTGTCAGTTTTCCCGCCTTGCTGAATCTCAGCTAGGCCAGGGGAAGAGAACGCGGATGAAGAGGAGGAGGGGAAGAAGGAGGAGCAGGAGGAGCACTGCGAGGAGGATGAGGCGGATGAGGAAGAGGAGGAGGAGGAAGGTGAGGAGGAGGAGGAGGAGGAGGAGAAGGAGGAGGAAGAGGAGGCAGAGGAGGAGGAAGAGGAGCACTGCGAAGCGGAAGAGAGCGAAGAGCACGAGGAGTAGTACGAGGATAACAAGGAGGAGCACGCCCATCAGGAGGAGGAGAAGCAGGAGGATAATCACAAGGAATACGAGAACGAGGTAGAGGATGGAAGGGAGGGGGAGGACACCGACGATGAGGAATAGCACCAGGAGCATGATGAGGATTTCGTATGAGGGGGCGATGAGCGCGACGAGGAGAAACAGAAGGAGGACGGGGAGGAGGAAAAAGAGGGGGAGGAGGGCACAAGGAGCGGGAGGAAGAGAGAAGGGGGATGAGGAGAAGGAGGAGGTGTAGTGGACGAGGAAGGACGAGGGCGAGAAGGAACATTACGTGGATGCGGGGAGGGGGGGGCGACAACGACGACCTCGGAGAGCTCGACGACGACGCCGCAGGCGCGGGCGGATCGGAAGCAGGAGACCGCAGGAACACTCTTGGGAGCCACCTTGGCTCACAAAACGCTGCTTGGGGATACTGTTAGGTCGGGCCCGTCCCCCCTACAGGGGGATTTTGGGCGAACATGAAAGATACCCCAGAACATTCTCCCCATCTGCTCGGAAATACTAAAAAAGTCCCCAGGTTAGATGTTTTGACTACTCTGGAAAATCTCCCCAGTAGAGGGACAGGCCCGACTTGAGGATACTCTTGGGAGCCACCTTGGATCCAAAAACGCTGCCTGGGCATGCTGGACTCTGGCTCTAAGTGGCTGGTGCCCTGGCCTGGGCGACGGCCCCCGAGGCCGACAACGGCAACACAGAGCCATCCGTCGTGGCCTGGTCCACGACGCGAGGGGGGCCCCCGGCCTCGCCCCCTCGTAGGGAAAACGAACTCCCCCTCCTCCTCCTCCCCCTCCCCCTCCTCCCTCTCCTCCTCGTCCTCCCTCTCCTCCTCCGTCCTCTCCTCCCCTCCCCCCTCCTCCCTCTCCTCCTCCTCCTCTTCCTCCTCCCCCTCCCTTCTCTAAGGGAACGAACTCTATACACCCGCACTGTTTCCGACCCTGCGCTTTTTCGGATCCTGGTGTATGCAGGATCCTGGTATATCCACGTCTCGCTGCTTCCCTTGGAATAAAAAAACGGGGGAAAGGTATACGCCACACCACCCCGACGTCGTCCCGACCCTCAAAAAGCCGCGGGGTTGAAGGAAGCAGCCCGCCACTGGCAATGCATATGTTCCAATTCCGACATCGCCCCCCCTCGACGGGGCCCTCCCGGCCCCCCCGGGCGGCGGGCGCGCGCGCGCGCGCGCCTGTCCCGGTACCAGGTGTCCCGCAGCGACTGGCGGGGGTGGCGCGGGCAGCCGCCCTGCATCCAGAGCCTCGGAGCGGGTCGACAACACGCAGGGAGCGGCTCCTCCTCCTCCTGCTCCTCCTCCGCCTCTTTTTCTTCTTCTTCTTATTATTAGTCTTCTTCGTCGTCTTCTTCTTCTTCTTCTTCTGCTTATTCTTCTTCTTCTTATTATTATTATTATGATTAGTCTTCTTCTTATTATTATTGCCATTGTTATTGCTATTCTGCTTGTTTTTATTATTCGTACTATTCTTCTTCTTATCATTATTATGATTCCTCCTCCTCCTCCTCCTCTTCCTCCTCTTCCTCCTCCTCCTCCTCCTCGTCGTCCTCCTCCTCCTCGTCGTCCTCCTCCTCCTCCTCCTCCTCCCTCCTCCTCCTCCTCCTCCTCCTCCTCCTCCTCCTCCCCCTCCCCCTCCTCCTCCCCCTCCCCCTCCCCCTCCTCGGCCTCCGCCTCGGCCTCGGCCAGAAGAGCGACCTCTGCCGCGCGGCTCTCTTCGGGGGGGGGGCCGCTGGGGAAGCAGAGGCGAGCGCGCCAGAGGCTGCTCCGACCGCATCGCGTTCGGCGATCAGGGGACCCTCTTGGGCCCGCACCGGAGGTCACTCCGGCGGAAGGTCACTCAGGCGGAAGGTCACTCAGGCGAAGGTCACTTGTGGATGCCATGGCAATGGACACTCTGACAGTCCTATTATGTAATTAAAAAATGTGTTTCAAATGTGGGAAAATGTTAACGTTTCGAACATGCTTAGTTTAAACATGTCTAACACATGTTTGAAACATCCTTTTGACATCTAGAAATGATTTGGCTGCATGCTTCCGCTCCATGGATCGTCCTCCACAATGTTAGTCCAGCTGGGCCGTCGGGGATCTTCTGGCCCGGGTCAATCCAGACCGGGGTCAGCAGGAAACCAAAAACTACAATGCAGGACAACAAAAACTGCAACGCGGATCTTCGCACACCCGGGTCAGCCAATATGCGCGGCCGCCTCGCGGCCACGAGCGGCTCGTTAACCCGGGTCAGCCAGAGGGGGTCTTCGCAGGATCCTGCAGGAGCTGGTGCCCTGGCCGACCCCCGTTCGCATTGACCCCCGTCTCAAGGCTCCCGAGGCCGTGCGCGGCTCGATCCGCCAGCCAAGCTCCGGCCAGCAACAGGCCAGCGCGCCGACCGCCGGCCATCGACGCGCCGGGGTCGGATCGCAGACGCAGGGGGCGATCGCGAGCTCGGGCTGGCGACCTCCGACGTCGGGGGCGGCCAAGAGGGGGGCGTGCAAGAGGGGGGGGCGCAGATCATTGCTGGCGGCATGTGCGCGGCCAAGCGGGGGGGGCCAGGGACGTGAGGAAGCAAGAGGAGGCGCCAGGAGATCTGGCGAGATGTCGTGGCCCCCGCCACGAGATCCCCCCCCCCCTGGTCATCGCCCCCCTCTTGGCCGCCCCCGATGATCTCCGACGGTGCGCTCTGTGTCTGAGCCCGGGCTCAGGTTTCCTCGAGTCCGGACTCCGGGGCCCGCTGCCGGGCCCCAGGACCCGGCCATCGCTCGGACGTCCATTCCCTGTACTTCTGCTCGGTTCCGTGCGCGGCTTGTTCGCAGGATGATCCAGGATGCTCCTCAATACTCCCCGCCGAGAAAGAAGTGCACACGTCCGGGCGATGCCAAGGGACCATCGAAAACGGATCTGGGCGAAAATCTGTCCGGGTTTTACCTTCTCATGGCGAAAGTCCACAGGTTTCGGTGCTGGCCCTGTAGCTCGCGCGCGTGGCGTTCGCATCACGAGCCCGTTTCAAAGAGATCGCGGAGCAAAGCGTAGCACAAGGGCGAGGGTAACCAGGAAGGGGAAGAGCCAAAGCTGCCCACGGGGAAGATGGTCGGAAACTTTTGGGCCGACATGCGATGGCCCCAGGACAACAATAAATTGAGCCGGGGCGACAAACGAGCCCCGGGGAAGGGGTCGAGACCTCTTGGGCCGCGGATTGGCAATCAGCCTGGCGAAAGACTCAAACAGATGCAGTTGTGAGTTGCGCAGTTGTGAGTATCGTCTTCGGTGCCGTTCCCTATGGGACCACGAAGCGTGTGAGGGATTCACCGACATGGGGGGCGGGGGGCCGCATGCGAACCCTGCCACTGCGACCTTTTGTGGAACTCCCTATAGACCCACAAAACGTAAGAGGGGTGTGCCAAAATGGGTGGTGGGACCGCATGCGAACTGCGACGCTGGGACTTTCGGTGGTGGCCTCTTGGCCCGTCTTGGGGCGGCTTTGGCGCCTCCTTTGCCGCCTTGTATTGTTGGGAACTCGCTCAATGGAAGACTCCAAGAACCTTGAAAAACAAACAACCGGGAAATTAAAGATGTTGGCTTCTCGGGGCATTGGTATGGGGCCTCAGGCGCCCGGTGAAGCCTGCATGGGGTCGTCCTGGCGTAGCCTGGAAACCACCAGGGGCCGTTCGCAAAACATCATCGGCGCCCTCGGGGTGTGATGGGCCAGTCCGGTCGACTGCCGTACACAATCGCGGTCATTCAATGCGTCCGCGGTGCCACTTGGAAGGCCACGAGGGTGCCCCTGGGCCCCCTGGAGCGGCCATGCATACCAGTAGCCGTGGTCCCAGGCCCGCCCGCAACTACTCCTTTGTGTATGCATATCATGTGTAAAATTATATGTATATGTACACATCTACGTGTATGCTTGTGTGTATGTATGTGTACATGTATGTCTAGATTTCGATGTGTATATACATGTGGCATGTGTAAATCTGCGATTAGGAAGCTATTTGGGACATTCTGAAGCGTGTTGGAGACCATTGGGATGAGATTGTTCGGTTGCTCGTTCCGCGGTAAATACAACGATGTATATTGTACGAAAGTTAACGTTGAACCCCTTGAAGTAAATGTTGACCTACAGATTGTGGTTGACAGATAAATGCAAGGACCGTTGCTCCTGGACGCATACTTGTTATGCGTTGAGAAACACACGCGTCGTACTTAGCAGTTGTACACATGGTAGGGTTGACAGCTACACTGCGGACGGGTTGGAACAAAGGACCACAAAGAAAAAGGAAGAAAATAAAAAAGGTCGGGAGAAAAGGGTCATAGAATGAGTGTATTTTCTTGGGGCGCTGGGCGGGGCGTCGCAATTGCGGTCGCAAGGCCGTGAAGGGGAAACGACAAGGACGCGGTAGAGAGTCGAGCGGAAGGTGGACGCGCGAACGGGAATTCGACGAAGAGATGAAACACAATTTGAAAGTTCGGGGGGGGCGTCGAGAGGGAGCCAGGGAAGCCGGGGTACATATTGCGGACCTTCTATTTAGTATGAACTGCGCCATTTCCGATGCGCACGCAGAAATTGCGAGAGAAGACGACCCAGTGCAATGCGTACAGAATTGTAGGTTCACGCAGCGAGCGACCTATGGGGCGAGAAGTTCTAAGAAGTCTCATTCTGGTCTAGTTATTTGCCAGAGGAATGGGATCCTCAGCAAACGTGGGATGTGAAGATGCAGTATCTGTCTCGCTGCTGCTCTGGACCGGTCGCATCGGCATGGCGGTGATATTCGTTAAGCTGATATTCAAAAATATGAGCGCACGGAAAGGGGAGACGACGACGCGGCGACGGCCCGACGCGCCCCGTTCTTTCGTGCGCGCGCAGCTGGCCCGCGGTGCCAACTTGGCCCTTTCAAACGCATAGCTGCGGAAACGCAGCGTGACGCAACAGCAGCGGGCGGCGGCGGCGGCGCAGAGACGGCGGAGGAAGATGCTGAGAAACTTCCCCCACGACGGGATGCGCGGGCCCGTGGATCCGACCCCCTCGGAGCTACGCGGGTTCGCGGCGCCCACGGGCGCTTTGCCCCCCCTGGCGCCAGTCCGAAACAACACTTATGGAGCCGAGGGCGGGGTGCCAGCCACTACCGTTGTAGCTCCCTTGAGGGCCGAAGCAGACCGACAAATCCCACGCCAGAACAGCGTCCCGCATCAAAAGTGCAAGGGCAAAGCTGGTTGGACCAGTCTCTTCTCCTTCTCTGCAGTCACCAACGGCTGAAAGCCTTGCCGTAGTCGTTGGCGCACCGACATTGCCACTCCACCCCTGCGGTCTCGAGGAGCCAGCGGCCCCCGTTCTTCGCGCGATGATGCTGGGTCGCGCCCTGGCCGCCAGCGCCCGCGGCATCGCCGCTCCTGCGCATCTTTAAGCCAGCTCGGCACTGGCGAGCAGGAGCTCCATCGGCAGAAAGGGCGCGCGCGTCCGGCTTCTTGCCCAGAACTCATCTGCTTCGCCACGCGCCAAATCGGCTCGATAGGGGGCCACCTGCGAACCCTACCCCTACCCCCCACGATTTCTGAGGGGGAGGGTGGGGTTCACTTCGTTCGGGAGCTCCCGAGCGAAGTGAACCCCACACTCCCCCTCAGAAACCGTGGGGGGTAGGGGTAGGGTTCGCATGTGGCCCCCTACTCGAGACAGCGGGGGGACAAGGAACGGAGTCGCGCCCTCGCGCGCGCGCGGGCCGCCGCTCCGGCCCCTCGTCGCCCGCGGCGGCGCAGGCTGCGCGGAGCGGCGCGGCAGCTGCCCGGGCGGCGCAGGCCGCGAGAGGCGCCGCCCATCGGCGGCCGCAGCAATCGGCAGAGGCAGCAGCGACGCAGCATTCTGGAAGACAGGTTGTTGGTCACCGGCTGGGCTGGTGGCCTCACTGGCTACAGGCTCCTTCTGCAACGATGAAGGGGCCCTGGGACACACAAATAAATACACACAAATGAAATGATTCCCCATATTTTCCCATATTTTCCTGGGACTCGAGGATTAATTGTGTCTGTGTGTTTCTTTCCCTCCTGAAGCGATTCCCCCTGGCCCAGCGTGAGTGGCGCCGCCGGCTGAGCTGGCAAAACCCCCGATAGCGTTGATCGACCCAAGGTCGGGGCGGAGGGGGCGCGCTAGCTAGTGGGTGGGGGGATGGGGTGGGGGAGATGGGGACGCTGGGGGTGCGCTGGCTGGTGGAAGGGGTGGGTGATGGAGAGGGTGCCGTGCCGAAATAAAGTGGCCGCAGCTCTAGACACCCTGTGCAGGAGAATAAAGTTGTGTCTTGAACTGGCCGTCTTCACCTTCGAGGGTACGAGTGCTACGCAAGGGATCTTGGAGCGCCAATCTTCGAGAGGCATGGAGTGCCGGTCAAGGGTTAAGAAACCATGCTCTGGATCCTGGGCGACCCTGACCAGAAAAAACTGGTGTGTGAAGCAAACGTGTGGCATCAATGTAGGTGGCATGTGTATACAGATATGATAGGAGGATGGAGATCTGGAGGAGCAGGCGGAGCAGGAGGGGAAGGCGGGGGAGGATGACGAGAAGGACAAGGACGAGGAGGAGCGGGGGAAGCGCAGCCGCCCGTTTCCGTCTCGCCGCGGCGGGCGCGGCGCGAGGCGGCAGCGGCGAGCGGAGAAGCGCCCCCCTCCTCCGGAGGGGCACGCCCTGCGCGGCAGCGCGCCGCGGCGGTCCCGCCGAAGGCGGCCGCGCCGGCGCGCGCGGCGGCGCGCGCCGTGCCTCCGCGCGCGAGTGGCCCTCTGCGGCGAGGAGGGGGGCCTCCGGTGCGCGGCCTGCCGAGCGCGGCGTGCGGTGCGGCCGTGGCGATAGCCCCCGCGGTGGCCCCAGGCTCCGCCACGGCGCTCTGGGCGCCGTGGGCTCGACCCTCCCCCCGCGCCGCCCCGCCCGAGGTGGGAAGGCCGAGAGGTATAGCACTGTGGATGCCATGGCAGTGGACACTCTGACAATCCGATCCTTGAACTAAGAATGTGGGGCTAAAATGTGTACAGCATCTTCTAAACATGTTTCAAACATGTTTTTTGCACAGTTAAAAAAACAGGTTCAGCACATGTTCTAGACATCTGGAAAGTATTTGGCAACATGCTTCCTCTCCATTGATCGTCCTCCACAAGTCTAGCGACACCGCCGCTCCGCGGATCTCTCGCCTGGAGCGCGCCCTGGCCGGGCTCTCGCAGAGAGCCCCGCCGTGGCGACGAGAGCTCTCCGCGACGAGCGGCGGCATCCGCACCTCCTGCTCCTCCGACGGGGCCCGCGCACCAGAGGCCAACCCCGGCCAGCGGCCGCCTCCGTGCGTGCGGCTCGGCACACCTCTTTGGAAGCCCGAAATGGGCACGGAAAGGCTGGGCACAATGCCCACCAACAAATGCTGTCCCAGACCAGCAGCGGCCGCTGCTGGGCAGGCGGCCTCCCGTCTCGAGCGGCCACAGGCCGCGGCGGCGCGGACAGCGAGGCCTGCTCAGAGCGCACAAGATCCGCTGTTGGGCATGGTGCCCATTTCCTTCCGTGCCCAAATCATTCGTGCAGAACCTCGCGAGGCCTGTTCAGAGTGAGCAAGATCCGCTGTTGGGCATGGTGCCCATTTCCTTCCGTGCCCAAATCGTTCGTGCAGAACCTCGCGAGGCCTGTTCAGAGTGAACATGATCCGCTGTTGGGCATTGTACCCATTGCCTTCCGTGCCCAAATCGTTCGTGCAGAACCTCGCGGGCCTGTCCAGAATGAACATGATCCGCTGTTGGGCATAGTACCCACTGCCTTCCGTGCCCAACTCGTTCGTGCAGAACCTCGCGGGCCTGTCCAGAATGAACATGATCCGCTGTTGGGCATGGTACCCATTGCCTTCCGTGCCCAACTCGTTCGTGCAGAACCTCGCGGGGGCGAGCCGCCCCCGCGCGAGAAGGCCCCGGGCGAGGGCGCGAGCCTCAGCCGGCGGCGGGCGGGGCCGACGAGAGCAGCGCGCCCACGAGCCGCACCGTGCGCCGCACCACCTCGGGCCCGTAGGCGAGGGTCACGTGCGGGCACGGCAGCACCTCCCGGGAGGGGGAGGGAGGAGGGGGAGGGGGAGGGGGAGGGGGAGGGGGAGGAGGAGGGAGGAGGAGGAGGAGAGAGAGGAGGAAGGAGGAGGAGGAGGGAGGAGGAGGAGGAGGGAGGGGAGGAGGGAGGAGGGAGGAGCAGGAGGCAGGAAAGGGAGGAGAAGGAGGAGGGAGGAGGAGGAGAGGAGGGGGAGGGGAGGAGGGGGAGGAGGAGGAGGAGGAGGAGGAGGAGGAGGCAGGAGGGAGGAGGAGGAGGGAGGAGGGGGAGGAGGAGGAGGGAGGAGGAGGAGGAGGAGGAGGAGGAGGAGGAGGAAATGGAGGAGGGAGGAGGAGGCTCCTCTCGAAGCGAGGCAGGCGGGGAAGCGGATCGGGAGTCGCCCATTCTGGCGCGGAGCCTCCCGGCCCCTCTCCGCGACGAGCCCCTTCCTGCCCGCGTCCTGCAGCGGATGCGGCCCAGAAGGAGAGCGGCCGCTGTTGGGCCGCATCCGCTGCAAGACGCGGGCAGGAGGAGGATGATGATGATGAGGAGGAGGAGGATGAGGAGGAGGATGAAGAGGAACAGGAAAGTCTACAGAGGGGGAGGAGGAGGAGGAGGACGAAGAGGAGGAGGAGGAGGAAGAGGAGGATGAGGAGGAGGATGAGGAGAAGGTTTTGTTTGACGACGGCGGCGTCTGTCCTGGGAGACCTGGGAAGACCGACGCTTGCAGGACGGACAAGGCCCCCCGAAGAGACAACGAATTGATGTGAACCTCGACGTGAAGCTCCCAAGGACGGAAGCTTGGACCCTGAGTCCGCCGAGCCGATGTTGCAATCCGCGGCCCCAGAGCTCCCGACCCCATCTCCCGGCGCAGTCGCTTGCGCCCTGGACCCGTTGTTGACGGTCCCGGGGCCCCGGGCCCGATGACGGGACAGGGAGGCCAACATCCCGGAATCGGAGATCTGGGTGATTGCTAAAACCTCCCATTAGTTAACGGGCGAAGAACGGTATAAAATAAACTGTTTCGCTGTCGGGGGCGCCTGTCCCAGGGCGGCTGGAAAGTTTATGTTATACCGTTCTTCGCTCGCTGAATTAGCGGCGAGCGAAGGGAGGAAATGAGGAGGAGAAGGCCCTCTCAGAAGGCTCAGAGGTCCCCCAGGCCTTCCGTGAGAAGTGCTCGCAGCCCTCCCCGAGGACGGAACACAGACCCCTCTCAGAAGGCGCGATGGCTTCTGAGAAGTCCCCGACGCCTTCTGAGAAGTCCTGGCGCCTTCTGAGAAGGCCTCCCCCTTCTCGCTTCGCCCCCCCTCGCTCGTGGCCGCGAGGGGCGGAAAGCACCCCGCGCGCGCGGGAGATGCGGCTCGGGCGAGCTGGCCCGACGGCGCTGCACGGTGCCTCGGCAGCGGAAGCCGAAGCCAAAGCTGGAGCGCACAGAGGAAACGGGAAACGGCCCACCCCTGCAGTCTGGACGCCCGACATGGGCACAGTCAGCCCGCAGAGTAAGGACGCGCGATAAGGGTGCAAGGCCCCTGGAGGCCCATTTCGAAGCGTTTCGAGCGGGGCGCGGCCAACGAAAGTGTCCAAGGATGGACCCAGGAAGCAAGAATGCAAGAGTACCCTTGGGAAGGATGCCTATCCTTACTCTGCGGGTTGACTGTACGGAAAGAATGGGCACAATGCCCAACAACAAATGTTGTCCCAAACCAACAGCGGCCGCTGTTGGGTAGGCAGCCTTCTGCGTCAAACGGCCAAAAGCCGCGGCGGCGCGGAAAGCGAGTCCTTTTCTTTTCAAAGGGAACAGGGACTGCTGTCGGGCATCGTACCCGTTCTTTCCGTACCCATTCGTTTCGTGCCGATGCAAATTTGGCTGGCAACGCATCGTTCCCGGGGGAGGATCACCTCCTTCCCGGCCAGCTTGCCGGCGCTCTGCAGCCGCCGCGCGTACAGCTCGGCGCCGCTGGCGCACACGTCGTACGCGCAGAGCGACACGAAGCACGGCGAGGTCTGCGCCAGGCGCTCCTCGGAGGCGAAGATCGGGTGTTGCCACTGGTGGCCCTGGCACGTGGCCCAAGCTGCCCCCAGCAGCTCGGAGGCATCTGTCGGGGGAGGATTGAACGGATGATTAGAACCCATTGGGGGGCTGGTGCGATAATATGGGCCGCGGATTCAGCGGGGTTGGACCGGATGAAGCGGGATGCAACCGGATTAAGCGGAATGACGCTGGACCGAGCTCGAATAAGCCGGATTTCGGACAAGGGCAGAATCAGAATTTGACCTCCCAGGAGATGCATCCGAACACCAGCTGGCGCCATTTTGACGCCCTTGGGGCCGTCCGGCGGCCTCGTGGGGGTGCTATGTAGGGGAGTTCTGGAGACCCTGGGCCCAAAAGCCTTGCCATCTCTCGGGCGGCAGATTTTTACTTCTGCGGGCTTCCGCCGACGGGAGCCGCCCCCGCCCAACTTCCGCCGCCTTCCGCCAGCCTTCCGTCGAGGAGAAAGTACAACAGCTCCTTCGACCATCGAAGGCGAGGCAATTTCTTGAACGCCCCATAGGGGCGCCATCTGCACCATACCAGGAATTCTGGGGCCCTGTGATTAACTCGAACATATCCCTATCGCTAAGATGGGCGAGCAAAAAACGAGGACAATCTTAGGGATAGGCCCTCAAAAACTGAGGGAATCCTTAAGATTGGCACCGAGGTGAGGTGATGTCAAACATAGGGATAGGTGATGTCAAACTGGTAAGCCCTGGGATGAAGATGCCCCGGCCGACCGTAGCCTCGACCACAAGAGAGACTTCCGAACACCAAGAAGGCATCGAAACCTAGGGCTTCCGCGCGCCGGGCCCAGGTAGGCGATCCTCCTCCGACGCGCTTCGCCAGCGCGTCGGGCAAACACTGTTTCGGCAACTACTTCTCTCGGGTCGGGCGAAAGTGGGGGATAGCAAAGGGGGGGTTCGAGAATCAACTCACGTAGCTGATCTTCCTGGCGCCGGAGGCGGCTATGTATCGAGGAGTGGGCCCCTCGGTGAGGCCGAAAACAGCTGCATGCAGCAAATTTCGTAAGCCCCCCTTTCCCAATCCCCCCCTTTCGTCCGGCCCGATTCTCTGGGTGCTCGAGATTATGTCTGGGATGTGGCTCTCGAGTGCGCTGAGGACATCAGAACCTCAAGTCGGGCTGTCCTCCTACAGGCGGGTTTTGTAGGGAAACGAAACATACGCACATGATACCCCCAGACAAACAAAAACACTCGAAACCATCGTCTCCAGACATTTCTTGGACTACCTTTGCATATTCCTCCTGCAGAAGGACGTGCCCGACTTAATCATACACCTGGGGGCGCCTGGAGCCAGGGACGCCCGTGGCAACACCCGGGCAGAGCGGCGTCACGCGCCAGTCGGCGCTGCGCCAGTCGTAGCCCCTCGCTGGCGGCGCGCACGAGCCCCGCACGTCCGGCGGCGTGGTTGTTTTCCGTCCAGGCGTCTCTCCCAGATCCTGGCCACTGTTTTTTGGAGAGAGTGGGCGGAAAAAAAATGCGAGGGGCACGAGGCGACCGGACCGTCTCCCGAGAGACCCGTGCACTCCGTGGCGATGTGGGACGGGGGCCGCCCAAAAACAAAAATTCACGGTCGCACAGGTCCAGTCCCGGTGGATTGGCGGGAGCTGCCTCGTCTACTTGGCCCAATGCCCATCTGCCCTCCAGAGTGGGGCATGGGGTATTTCCGTCCACTGGCAAGTCCAATCTCCATCCTTTGGGCAGCAGCACGTGCGGCAGACCGCCCGTTCTCCAGTGAAACTTGTAACCGCAATCTTTGCGTAGGTCGCCCACTAAAGATCACGCTCGGGATGTTTGGCACGACGATCGCCTCCACGCCCCCACCGCGCAGCTGGTTGCCGGCTATCCCGACGGTCCCGAACGCTCGCGGCTGCCGCCGCGCAGGTGCATGACGGCGAGCAGATTGGACCCGCAGCCCATATCGACTAGAAATATTCAGGACCCTAGTCTGACGAGGCCGGCCCTCCTGGCCACCCTGCCTGCAGGAGTTATCCCTGTGGATGCGGCGGCGTGCTCGTCGTCGGACCCATTGCTGGCATCGCGGAGGTCGCCGTCGGAGCGCTGTTCCCGGCTGGTCCACAGGCGCCAGATTTCTCTTCCACAAGAGCAAGCGCCTTGTCGTGAACCAACTGTCGGTGCACTTTCGCCTTCTGGTCCCGATTCCTGGCCCACCAGGGTTCGAGCCCGAAAGCATTCTCAGACAACGATCATCTCCTCGAGCGATCCCTTGAGAGGTGCCCGGGGCCCACGTGGGTCGATGCGCGCCTCGTGGCGCCGCGTGGCGCCGCGGCGTGATTCGGCCCCCGGGCTACTGCGAAGGGCGCGCCCCCCAGCTCACCACTCCTCATCACTTCGGGGCCTTCGCTCGGGAGCGACGCGATACCGCCAGCCTGGATGCGCCGCAGCAGTCGGGCGCGAGGGTCTGCGATCGGCCCGTCCTGTCCAATCGCCGGGCAGCCTGGCCAGCCCTGAAATAATTTCAAGTCTGCACATTAAAGCTCTGACCGTCCACTCGACATGTCTCATTCGAAACAACCAGAAATCCGAACGGCGGCGCGCGGAATCCTGATCCGGCGTGGAAAACTGCGGGGTAAACGCGCAACGTTGCTCCACAATCTGGGGCCGGGCAGGCGCGGCCTGCGTCGGCCCCGCCCAGGCTGGCGCCGGCGGCGCAGCCGCTGGACGTTGACCCCCCTCGTCACGGTCGCCCTGGGGCTCTGGCCCCGCCCCAACAATCTTCCCCGATGGGGCAGACTCGTCTGGCCAGGTACCTCCAGCATTGCCTCTTTTCTTGCCCCTTGCCCTTCCCCTTGCCGCTGTTCGCCCTGCCGTCGTCAGTCCCGCTAAAGGCGGCCCTCTTGGCGTTCTGGGCTGCGGCGGAGATCTGGTCGGAGCTGCGCTTGCAAATGTTTGGCTTCCTGGGCCTCGCAAGATGCGCCTCGCTCTCGTCGCGAGAAAGCTGTTCTGCTGTCGCGGCCTTCCCATGCTGCCGCGGGCACTTCTCCCGCGGGAGAGAGCGAGGGCCTTTGCTGCGCGCGTGGCGCAGTCCGTCCTTAGAAGAATTCCTGCTGGGCGCGCGGCTTTGGGATCTCTGGCGACCGCCGCGTCCGCGCGCCTTTCCGTCTACTACGCGGTCTCGGCTCCTGCCGCGACCCCGGTAATTTCCTTCTCCCTTGGGGTTCGGCGCCTCCACCCCCCGGCCCGTTCCCTCGCCGCCACCTAGGCCGCCAAGGGCGGCGTCAGACGGGGCCGGCGCGGCCTGGGCTGGAGCCCCATATGATGCATGTCGAGGCATTGCGCGCGCGCAAATACGGGCCCCCTTCGCGCGCTTGAAGCAGGCCGCTGACTACTCGAGGCGGTCACCCTACATGCAGACGGGATCTTCGCCCCCGTGCTTTCCGCCCCCGCCGCCGCCGCCGCCGACGCCCTCGTTGCCGCCCGCGCCTCTAACAGGGAGGCCACGGGTGTTACGTTGCTTGCGTTGCGCGACGCAGTGGTGGGGGCCTCGGTCTGTCTGCGCGCGCCTGCTGATCCGCCTCAGCAACCACTCGCATGACGCCGTCCCATTGCCATGCTCGTCGCTGCTGTGATCGCGCATGGTCAACGCCATGGACATGCGAGGGCACTGATTTCATCTCTTTGTAGACATGATCCTGGATAGAAGCGGGGAATGAACCCTGGGGCTGATCCATCTAATGCATGATCTTCATGCACCTGTAATAAAAGTGAAAGAGATCGGCGTCCACTTCACTGCCCATGCCACGAATCTCAGTCCCCATCCAGTCCAAGCACGCGCGCGCTGGGCCGCGGCCCTCGCGGGTGACCACGCGCACGGCGAGTGTTCGAAGAACTGCGCGACCCTGCAACATCTGTTTCTATCTGAGCATGGCAGCATCGAGGCGATCGATCTCGCTAGCCAGATAATGGGCGGGAAGTGGCGACTTCGGGCTCTGCGAGATCCGACTGATCTCAGATCTGATGCGATCATTATCCGACTGATCTCAGATCTGATGCGACCATTAAGTCGACGGGGCCAAAAAACCCGGAGTCGACCTGTCCAAAGTTCCCGGTGTCGCGTAGCGGCTCGGCCTTGACCTGTGGAAAGTTATACGCGCCCAGGACCCATTCCGTGGCCCGCTGCCATGGGGGGGGGGGGGGGCGCGACGCGACGTGGCGGGCCGCGCCTCTGCGCCGCTTCCAACCAGCTGCGTCGGTGATGGGTTCGATGCCCACCTTCTCCGTCTTGCCTGCGTCGTCAGTAGGCAGCCGTGCCTGGCGCCCCGCCGAGGAGAGCGCCGCTTCCGTCTCCGCCGTGAGGCGCGCCGCCCAGCGGCCCGTTGCATCGGCCACGCCGACGGTCACCCTCACCCCCTCATCGGGCGAATGGTCTTCGTCGTCCTCCGAATCGGAATCGTCGGAGCCCTCGACCCAGTCATCAGTTGATCGTCGTTATCGTCGTTAGGCGGGCCAAAGTCTGGCGGCTGCTTCGCCGGCGCTGCCTTGGCCGGCTTGGGCGCGACTTGCTACTCCCCTTAGACGGCGCCGCCCCCGCCGCCATCGCCGCCGCCCGGCCTCTCGGGGTCTGGCCAGAGGAAAAAGGGGCCAGGGCCGCCTGAGCTCGCTCCGCTCTCTCTTTGTTCTTCGAGCGGCGCGCTGCCTCCTCCCAAGCTTGCTCCTCTTTCCAGAGCCTGCGTTTCGGCGGCGGCGGCGGCTGCCTCCGCGCGTTTCTCAGCGCGCAACTCCTGCGGCGGCTGGCAGTCAATGGGCCCCGCTCCAGGCGCGGATTGGGCGGCGATCCGTTCCTCGAGTTTCCTTCTTGCTCTGCGTTCCTCTTCCTCTTCTCTCTCGTGCTCTCACTGAGCCCCCCGGCTCTTCTCTGCCGAATCGTCGACGCAAGTAGCGCGCCCCTCCTCGATCGCATCGCAGTGGGCCCCGCGCGACGATCCGGCGCGCCGCGCGAAGTCGCGGCCTGCAGCTCTGTTGCACGAACAACGCCCGAGCCCACCCTAACGCGGCGCGAGCGCGGCCTGCCCGGGCGCCTCCGCCTGCGGAGGAGCCGCGCCGGTTGCGGCGAGCTTGCGCTGGAGTGCGTGAAAATAAGCCTGTTGTCGGCGCCGTGGCTCGCGCTGTGCTTCCCAATTAATTGTCCATGGGCCGTGTTGCTCTAACCTCGGTATTGCAGGCTGTGAAGATCACCTCGCCATTCGCTTGCTCTTCGGTCCGCTGCGCCCTCTCCAGCGCGTCGCGCATCTCAGCGGCAGCGCGAACGCAGTTCGGACTTGCCGCTCGGGCCGCCGCTCGGACTTGCCTGTTGGCGAGTGTCGATGACCTGGCCTGCGCCTGTCTCATCGCCCCTGCGCTCTCGGCTGATGTCCTCTTCGCAACAGCTTCGGCGGTTAGTCGATCTGCCTGGGCCGTTCGCGCCGCCGTCTGCGCCTCCAGCTCAAGGGGGGCGTCGCGCGCCTCAGCCACCTGCAGCTCTTCTGCGGCCCGCATCACCGTCACCAGCTGGGTCTCTCCAGCTCCCCCGGACCACGCGCAGGGCCCCTCGGCGACGTCCTTCTCGAGGTCTCGAGCGCGGTTCTCAGCGACTGCCGACGCCTTGACCTTGCTGGCAAGTTCGGCAAGCTCGGCTGACGCACGCAGCGCCTGCTCGTTGGCAGCAGCCTGGTGCGTTTCCTCAGCCTGCTCCATGGCGCATAGCATGGCGGCGCGGTCGCGTTCGGCCTGCAGCTGCGCGCTGATGAAATTTGGTTTGGTTCGCGCGATGTGGTTCTCACTTGCGCCAGCTCCCTGTTTCTTTCTTCGGCCATGGCCCCCCGCCTATTCTCTTCGGCCGCCCTCATTCGAGGCCGATCAACGCCGTGCAATTGCGCGCGAGAAAGAGGGAAGACAATCCGGCCAAAAAGATTTCAAGATGCACAGGCGGTTACTGACCGGGCATTCGCGACAAACTGCCTTCTTACACAGTCCTCGATTTCCCGGCAGCAGTGCTCAGGGAATGCCGCGCACCTGGGGTCTGCGTTGGCGCGCGACTCATTGACGCGAGATTCCGATGCGTGAGAGAGCGCCGCGCGAGCGAAAGACGACGATGCGCCCGACAGGGCCCTCGATGCCCTGCGTCGGTCGGGCCCCGTGCCCCTGGCCCGCGGAGTGCGAGTGCGAGGGGCGGGGGCCCTCGTCGCACTGAGGTTCGGGCGTCTTGCACACAGAAGCCTCAGCGGACTGACCGGTGGGGGGAGTGGCCTAGGAGCACAGCCTCCGGGACCTCCCCCCGAAACGAGAAACTGTAGCCTCTCCTATGGTATGCCCTCTGTTTTGGTCCGCTTCGCGAGCAGGGATCCGACTGACAAGCTGATGGCCTCCCGGGGCTGCTTCGCTTCGGGTGCTCTCGACCCGGCACCCCCTTGCGTGTTCCGCTGGGCGGCCGCCGGCAGGCCTGCCATCATCTCTGCCATTTCGACTTGAACATCTTCCCACGATGCTTCGGCGACGCAGTCGTCAAAAGGTGCTGGCGCCAAGGATGGTTCCTGAGCTTATATCGAACACGGTCCGAGACCACAGACTCCGGAATCGCCCCCACGATCACGGACATCAGCCGTTGCCCGGGTCAAGCGGGGGGTGTCGAGTTGACTGATCCCCTTTCTGCCGACGAGACGGTTATGCGTGCATCCAGCGAGCCGGGAGAAATCACGCGGGCTTGATGGACGCATGTCCGGATTGGCTGATCGGTACTACTCGGCATCCACCTCCGCCTTGTCCGCGTTCGTCTGCTACCGTATCTCCCGACGAGTACGAAAAAACTCTTGCTGATATTTTGCTAAGAGCGCGAATCGGAAAACCTGATGCACTCAGGGGGACTCGGTCTCGAGAAGAATATGTTGGATTCCTTGTCAGCCGTGGCATTGCTTCTCATTACTTGGTGTATCCACCTTCGAAGCAAGAAACACCGTTTCGTGACCTCGTGATGGAGATGTCGGTTGGTAGCCATATTTTGCCGATTCATCAGGAAGTCGGTCATTATTTAGATTATGTTGATCGGCTCTTGTTCTGAATGTTCTAGTAAGTCATCGTCAAATACTGATCACAAGTTAAGTCTCGGAGAGGTTGTGCTTGAAGCCGCGGCGTGTAATCAAGTGTGCCACCAATGTTGGGTGTGCCTTATGATGCGCGGGAGCGCCCAGCCCAGGCGAGGGGAGGGCGCGCTTTTCACTCTAAACACAAATAGCTGTAGGTAGCATCGATGTTAATAAGGTGGCGCCGCCAACCCTCAATTGGAGGGTAACGGCGGCGCGACAAAAAGAACGCACGAGGGGAGCGCAGCTAATGACTAGGATGTTCGCTTGTATTGAGCGGTTCTACAAATTAGCTGCCCCAGTGCGAAGCCAAAAAAAAGTTGGGTAAGTCACCAAGCAATTCAGTCCGGGGGGGTATTCTAGGTATCGCCTCAGGGGCCCGTTTCGGGGCCTCGGGGCCTCGGGGATCTTCTGACCCGAGGCAATCCAGACCTGGGTCAGTCAGGCCTTGCAGAATCCTGCAAGATCCTGCACCCAAACCCGGGTCAGCGCGAAGGATCCTGCGGGATCCTACACCCAAGCCTGGGTCAATGCGACCCTGGCCCTGCAGGATCCTGCTAGATCGGGCGCTCTGGCCGAACCCCGTTCGCATTGACCCCCGTCTCAAGGCTCCCGAGGGCCACCATTTGAAGGTCGGGCCCGTCCTCCTACAGGAGGATTTTTGGGCGTTTATATATATATACACTAATTTTTATATATATATATATATATATATAAGTATACATATATATGTATATATTATTGTGTGTATGTGTATATATATATGAGTATATATAAATATAATCAAACACTCGAGCAATGCTCCCCAAATGCTTGGAAATACTAAAACAAAATCCACATACTATGTTTGATTCTTTTTGAATATTTCCACTGTAGAGGGACAGGCCCGCTATAACACCATTTCAAAGGGGTCCGGGGTGGAAAAACACCCAACGTGAGGCCGCGGACTGAAAACACGACACCGGCGGACGTAAAGGGAAAAGCGGAGCAGCGCGAGGGGGGCCGCCTCTCGTCCGAGAGGTCCCCGGGGGCTTCTCTGGCGAAGGCAGGGGGGAGCTTCTTGGAAGGCCCCGGGGGGCTTCGCGGAAGCCATCTCTGCCAGGTGGGGCTTTCCAAATCACCGCCGTCTGGCAGCTCCTCTTCTGAGACCTCAGCGGGCGGTGACGACGAAAGTATACGCTGGGTGGCCCCAGAGGCCGGACACGGGCACATCCACCGCCTGCCGAGGTCCTCGATGATCGACTCCCCACGCGGTGGTTACGGATCAATCCCCGCCTTGGATCCAGGAGCTCTCTGGGCCTTGCCTGCTCAGATGAAGCCCCACCTTCTCATCAGAAAGCCGCTCCTCCTCGCACCCCCCCCACCCGTGCGCGCCGCCAGCCTCAGATACCGCTGCCACGCCCACGCGTCGTCGCGGCCCGCCCAGCCGACGCCGGTGTCGAAGAACTCGCTCAGGCTGGCGGTCGGGAAGGGCGCCATCCTGGGACAGAAAGGAAGACAGATGTCATGTCTTGCCCAGCAGATATGCCCCGTGGAATTCCTCGCCCTGGAAGCCCCTCTTTCCGCCGACTGACAATACCCCTTACCGTAAGGAAACTGCCCACCTAAAAGAGCACACCCAAAAAAAAACAAACAATGGATGGTTCTCGCTGAGTAGATCGACCGGGCACGCCCGAGCCTGGGAACCCAGAACCCACCGAGACCATCCCGGAACCAATAACCGAGAACCCAGGAACCCAGCCTGCTACCAACATCGGCGGGAAACTTTTTCCTAATCTTTCAACTTTCGCTAGGACCCCTTCAATGCAAGCACCGATTGGGCAATCATCACTTGAGAAACCTGGGCCAACTTCTTGAACATTTCTTAGAGCACACCTGGCCAAGGTATTGCGTCAGCGCTAGAGCGGCGAACGCGCTCAAGAAACCCAGCCCACGAGCGGGGATACGACAAAACCTCGCAGCACCCACTTGCCAGGCATCAGGTCGGGCACGTCCCCCGGCCCTACAGGCGGATCTTGGACGTACAAAAACGACTCAAAATGCCCCCAAAAAGTCATGAAACAAGTCGTGCCAAGACGATTGAAGATTCCTCATGTAGGGGACTGAACCTAAGCGCTGTTCCTCGTTTCCGTTATGTTTCTGTCTTCCCTCGTTGCGTCTTCGATTCGCCCTTACCGCAGAGCGGAGTCGAAACGAGAAGGGCCCACGACATTTCAAAAACATCGTTTAGGTCCAGCCCTGATTGGCACCAGCATTAGGTCGGGCACTTCCCCTACAGGCGGATCTTGGACGAAAATGTTTAAAATACCACCAGGAATATAGAATACCCCCCAAATGCCCCCCAAACTTTGAAATACCTCCAAAATGTTTCAAAATACGTAAATATGCTATTACACCATACAAAATACCAAAAAAACAAAAACACAAAAAAAACATCGTCCCCAGACTCTTCTTTTACGATCTTTGACTCTTCCTCCTGCAGAAGGACACGCCCGGCTTCACGGCTTAACTCCAAGCTCGCCCAGAGTCTGCCCCCGAACCGGCCCTGGGCTCCGTCCTGGCCAGCGCTTCGCCCTTCCGACCGCTCCACGGCCGCCGGGGGGCCGGGCGCCCCCTCGCAGCTCCGAGCGCGCGCGGGGGGGAGGCCTCGGAGCCCCGGCACCCCCGCCGCCTGCCACGTGTCGATCCGCGGCCCCGGAGCTCCCCACCGCGCCTCCGCCCAGGAGCCACTCTGGACTGAAGGGGCCCTATAGGACACGCAAATAAAAAGAATCCCTACATGCTCCCATGCTTCCTACGCAAATAAAACTACTCCCTGCATTTTCCTATATATACTTTCTGGGTTTCTGTCTTCCCCCCCACTTCCCATACTTTCCCCGATCTTCTGGGGGATCGACGATTCATTGTGTCTGTGGGTTTCCTTCCCTCCTGACGCATGGCCCCCAGGCCCGGAGACGGCCCCCGGAGGCCGAGATCGAGGCACGACGCCAGGACTGAACAGAAGCACTTCGCCAGGAGAAGCCCGGGATCCCCAGCCCCGAGGGCGGTCCAGGGCGCGTGCACGACGTGGCCCACGGTCGGCGTGCTCGTGCCCCCCAGCGCCTGATCATCGCTCAGCCGATCCCCATCCCCACTGGCGCGGCCTTGGCCCCACTGGCCGACTTCTACCCCTGGGCGTGCATGCCCGTTCTTCCTTCGAGCGTCTACCCGAGAGGGTGGGCTGGCGGCGGGTGGGGCTGAGAGGTGGGGATAGGTGGGGATAGGTTGGGCGATAATGAGCGCCAGCGCCACCAGCGACGCCAGCAGACCGCCAGCGGAGTACCCGAAGGCCACCACCCGCGCCGGGTCGAAGGGGCAGTCCGCTCCGAGGGGCGCCTCGCCCTGGAGGAGGGCCGTGGCCGCCACCACGGCGTCCTCCGCTGAGGGCTGTGTTAGACGAGCAAGCAGCGGCATCAACAGGGCCTCCGGAAGTTCGATTTCCCCTATCAGCGCTTGCGGTTTAGAATTCTAACTTCTGGCACTAAAGAATTTAATGGATTCGGCGAAGTGCGTTGCCGCCCGTTACGGTCTCAGTGCAAGAATTGACCGTTTTGTTAGGTCCACTCTGGCCAACATGCTTATGTTTATGTCATGTTTGACGTCTTCGACGTTTGCCCCCAGCCCTCGACTTCAGGAGGCAACTCTTGGGGGGTATTCGCAAGAACGATGAAGGGCTGCAAAGCTCGACTGAAGGGGCCGCTGGGCTGGACCAAGCCAAATCTAGCCCGGGATTAAACCTAACAAAACAAAATTAAGCCAGATTGTACGGGATTGTACCAGATTGCACCGGACTGCAGTCGATTTCGACCACGGGTCTACCAGCGCCAATGCTAAATTCGACTCCCCAAGACTTATGGCATAATCCAAATGTTGCTCCTGGCGCTAGAGGGGCAGGATGACGGCCACTGTGCCCCGCAAACCCCTACCTCCTCGCGCTGTGGTTGTCCTCTCGTAGAGCGTAGGGACCCTGGACCGTCAACAATCGAGCAGGGACCCACCGTCCTGGCACTTCTATGTGCTTGCCACGAAGTGGTCTTACCACAAGAAATAATGTTCTACAAAACGAACAGGTTAAAACATGAAGCCGATGTATTAAATCAACACGGCCTCAGCCAGTCTTAGGCCATTATACGGTGGGCCTGCAGGCAAGCCAAGACGCCTCGCCACTGCTTGAAACAGGACGCCTCGGGATGAAAAGCCATCTCCGGGGACAGGTCCAGAGCCTCGGGGAGAGGCACGGTGCAGTATTAATAACGACGGCGGCGTTCTGGAAAGGTCATCCTGTTGATCATTCGGCGGTGGACAAACCTCCCTTTAGAAAACCTCCCTTTAGTGAAAACGGCCTGGAAACGAAGCCGACGGACCTGGACCCGCAAAAATGACGGCCGCGACGCCCTCTCGCGAACCGAAAACGGCCGATTCGCTAATCGACGTGCCAGGGTAGGAGGTCTGTCCAACCCCGAGTCATCAGGACGCGGTTGGCACCAACGTGCGCTTGTCCACCGAGGCCCCGACGCAGCGAGGGCCGACGCAGACTGCGAGCGATCGGTGGACCTGAGCGGCGCGAGCACAAACTGCACCGACACGCGCCCTGGGGAATCCTGGAACCAGGCTCGGCAGGCTCGCGTCGTGACGGCGTCGGCGTTGGCTCGGGCACCGCGTGGACCGATCACCCTTGAAGAAAATTCTCGGCTTGTTGGTAATGCTCTCGGGGATGGACAGGACCCCGGACCGACCTCGGGCCCAGGCCTGGCGGGCGCAAGTCTGGAGAATGACGGCCGCGTCGCCCTCTCGAGAACCGAAAACGGACAATTCGCTAATCGACGTGTCAGGGTGGGGGTTCTTGAAGGGGCCCTGGGACACACAAACAAACACACACACACACAAATCACAGGTTTCCCCATACTTCCCGTCATTTCTGGCTTTCCGTCTTCCCCCCCCACTTCTCAGATGTTCCCCTGTTTTCAAGGGGATCGACGACCAATGGTGTCTGTGTGTTGTTGTTCCCCTCCTGAGTTCTGCCCCCCCCCCGAAGTGCCGATCGCTCGACAGCGGCGGCCGAGCGGGGGCGACCTGCGGCGTTCCACCCTGCGCGCGGGCGCTGGGGGCCGGCGCTGGGGGTCGACACGGCGCGGCCCTGCCGTGCAGGCCCAGGCCACCCCGATGCCTCGAATGGTTTTCGTAAGCAGGGACCGACCGTCCCGGCACTCCTGTAGTCCTAACACGACATGTTCTCAGAGCCCGGCAATGTTCTACTAACAAGAGCAAGGTTCTTAAAAACACAAGTCCGATGCGATAAAACAAGACAGACTCCGCCAGAAATGTTCTAAGAATACTTCGTGGAAACCACAGAACAGGTTCTTAGAACATTGTTTGGTCGGGCTACAGGCGAGCCCGCCACTGCTTGATTCTGGGTGGCGCAAGAGGGGGTCCAGCTGCATGGGGGTGGTGCACTAGATTCGGGGATTCGGGGCAAGCGTGTTGCAATCGTACTGCGCCGGAGCCCTGTGTTGCCTTGTCTTGCAACTATCGGCGGTGGACAAACCTCCCTTTAGTAAACCTCCCCTTGGCGAAAACGGCCTGGGACCGAAAACGACGGACCAGGCCCGCAAAAATGACGGCCGCGAAGCCCTCTCGCGAACCGAAAACGGCCAATGCCTCGATCGACGTGTCAGGGTAGGAGGTCTATCCACATCCGAAACTACATGTCTTGCACGCGAAGGTCCAGATCTTCTGCACCACCCCCTGGTCGCTGGACCCCCTTCTGGGGTCCACCCGAACGGTGTGTGTTGCACGCCCACCTGGCCCCCGGGCCCGCACACCCTCCCTGGGGCCGAGGGCGGCCACGGCCGGAGCCGGTGGCGCCAGGGCGCCTCCTGCGGAGAGCAGCGCGCAGGGAGGCCGAGGGACGCGCCTGGTCCCTGGGGGGGCCTAACACGGGGGAGGGGGGAGAAGGAGGCCCTGAAGGTCAGGCGATCGCAAACATGGAGCAAGGGGGCGCGGGTCAGCGACGGGCCCTGCGTCCATGGGGAATCGCAGATTTCCGCCGCCGAACGGGGCGGCACGGGCCGCATGGATTTGGCGACCTCGCGCCAAATCCATGGCCATGTGCCTGAGCGTGCTTGGTCCACCCTCTTCGGGCCTGCGGGGGCCCCGGGAGGCCTCCGGAGACCTCCCTAAGCGGAACTAAAGATGGTGAGGCAACCGAGCGTGATCCCTATATACCCCTGCAGGTCAGCTTTCTGAGAAACCGGTGGCTGGGGCTCAGCCACGCCAGCCCTAGAGGGGGTGTCAGACACCGCAGCGGCGAGTGGACCTGCAAGATAATCACACCAGGGAAAAACCCCAATCAGTGAGGGAGATCGACCGGGAACTCGGGAGCCTGGGAACCCAAAACCCACCGAAATCGGCCCGGAACCAATAATCACCGGGAACCCAGGAACCCGGAACCGGGAACCTGGGAACCCAGCCTGCTACCAAATTCGGAGGGAACTCTCGCCAAATCTTTCAACTGCCGCTAGGATCCCATTCAGTGCAAGCACTGATTGGGGAAAAACCGCGGGTGGCCCCATCTTTCCCACAGTGGGATTGTGGAGGAAAACGAAAAGAAGACTACTTAACAAAATCCCCCCAAATGCTAAAAACTGGACAACAACAAAAATCGTCCCCAGACCATGTTGTGACTATTCTTGCATATCCCCCCTGTAGAAGGGGCAGGCCCGACTTGAACCCGCAAGAGAAAGACCGCGGGCGGTCGCAGGTTCGCAGCCTCGCTCCCGGCACTTGAGCAGGGACCGACCGTCCCGGCATCTTTATAGTCATACCACGAAGTGTTCTTAGAACCCCAAACATGTTTTAAGAACAAAAACAATGTTCGTAGAACGTATACCCGATGTGATCAAGCAAGACGGGCTCCGCCAGAAGTGTTCTAAGAACATTTCGTGGGAACCACAAAAGGTTCTTAGAACACCGTTCGGTGGGGCAATAGGCGAGCCAAGACGCTTCGCCACTGCTTGAGGCACCCGCTGCCACCCGCCGTGCAGGCCGCCCAGCCTCGCGCACCGCCCCGCGCGCGAGGAGCGCGGGGCGCGCGCTCCTCCGCGCGCCCCGCGGGGGTGAGGTCGGGCAGGCTCTAAGGCATCTTCACATCAAAATAACTTCGGCCATATCAAAAAATCCGAGGATGCACGGGGGCACTAAGAGGAGAGGAGGAGGAGGAGGAGGAGGAGGAGGAGGAGGAGGAGGAGGAGGAGGAGGAGAAGGAGGATGAGGAGGAGGAGGAGGAGGAGGAGGAGGAGGCGGAGGAGGAGGGGGACGAGGAGGAGGAGCCGAGGAGAAGGATAACATGGAGCATGAGGAGTACCACTAGGAGGAGAAGGCAGAGAGAGAGAGAGAGAACGAGGTATAGTGACCTATAAGGGACCCTCAACTTGTGTTGTTCCCATCCTACTTTGGACGCTCGAAATGGGCACGGAAAGAATGGGTACAATGCCGAACAACAAATGTTGTCCCAGACCAACAGCGGCCGCTGTTGGGCAGGCGGCCTTCTGTCTCGAATGGACACGGGCCGCGGCGGCGCGGACAGCGGATCCTGTTTCCGTACCCATTTCGGGCGTCCAAATTAAGGACCACATCCCAGAAATAATTTCCAGCACCCGGAAGAGGTGTCAAGAGACTGTCGAAACAGTGTGTCGGGCGAGTGTCTCTCGGGGCCAGACACGTGAAAGCCCTTGAGTTTCGGTACTTTTTCTTTCCGGCGCTCGAAAATCTTTCTGGTGATCAAGGCTAAAGTAGGTTGGAGCATCATGGCCTTAAATCAGGAACGAGGCCCCCTCTCTTCCGCGAGTTACATTTCGATTGCCCATGGGGAAACCTGAGGGGGACCCGGGGGCAAACTGTAGAGCAATCAGGGAACAGCGGGCCCCTCGCCAGCGAAAAGGGCTCCTTCTTCAGCGCCCCCGCTGTACGGGAGGATGTTGAAGCGAAACTTTGGAAGAGTCAGAGAGTAACAAAACTGAGTCAAAAGAGCACGCCGAATCGTCACCAGAGAAGCGTTCTGCGGTCCTTGAGCATTCCTCCTGTAGAGGGACATGCCCGACTTAAGCCTTGGATTAGGTCGGGCATGTCCTCCTACAGGCCAATTCCGGGAAAAATGGAAAATAATTGTCCCCAGGCAATTTTCTCAGATCGTCAAAAATATTAGAAATATCATCCCCAGACTAGTTTTTCTGTTTTTGAACATTCCTCCTGTAGAGGGACATGCCTGGCCTAAGCCTTGGAGAGAAGACCAGCTTTTTGTGGCCCAGGCCGCTGAGCGATGGGCCTTCGAATCTTCGCGCATGTGGTCACGCTGCCGAGCTCATCCCCCTGCTTTGGGAGACCAGAAGGTACTGATACTGCTACTCCCCGGACCTCTACGGGGGTGCGTTCTGACCAGCATTTCGAGGCGAATCCAGCGGTGGCGACGAGGGCCTCCCAGAACGCCGAAAACTGGCAAAACGGGCGAAGGGAAAGAGGTACGGGTACGTTTTCCTCCTCTGATTTCTGCCGAGGAGGCGGAGGAGCAGGAGGAGGAGGAGCAGCTCCCCCCCTGAGGTCACGCCAGTTACAGTCAAACCGTATCACTCACAAGGATGCGGGGTAAGAATGCAAGGGCCTTGGAGGCCAGTGGTTCGAACGAGGTTGGCCAGCGAGAGTCGCCAAGAATGGGCCGAAGGGGCAAGGATGCAAGGGCACCCTTGGGAAAGTTGCCCATCCTTACTATGCGGGTTGACTGTCTCATCAGGGGATACGAAGCTGCCTCCAGTCTGACTGCTAAGATCGCCAGACAAACAAGGGAACGCCAAATCCCAAACTTGTCCTCCCCCTCCCAGGGCGATATCCGGGCACGTACGGAAAACTCGCGATCTCTGAGGTGGCAAGTCTCAGAGGATGAATCGGGCGCCCGGGCATTTCGACATCCAGAGCGCTCGGGAACGCTCCAAGAGGCATCGAGACCGCTCTGGAACGATCAACCCGCATTCCTCGAACGCCGCTGGGAAGGCGCTCTCCGGAGCCAGGCGGTAGTCCACGCTGGCGACGACCACCCCCAGCTGGGCTGCGAAGGCGGCGCACCAGCGCGACTCCGCCTCGTGAAGCTGAGGGAGAAACAACTGCCTGAATTGGTGGGCTTGCTTTCCACCACCACCACCATAAGTAGTAAGGGAGGGGGTCCTCATCCTCCTCTTATTTCTCCTCCTCATCCTCCACCTCCTCCCCCCCTCCAACTTATGGTGGTGGTAGAAAACAGGCCCATCGTGAATCTCGACTTTCGGAAGCACGTGCGGATTCCTTGCGTCGGCGCTGGACCCCCCCCCCTCTCTCCCTGGCGCGCGCGAAGGGCGATAGAGGCGGCACCGCAAGTCTCTTGGGCCAAGTGCCAACCCAGGGGATCAGGCGCAGACCTCCGACATGACACGGCCGAAGCCTGGCCGGAAACACATAAGTCGAGACTGTGAGCCCCGTCGCCGACGGCCCAGGGCACAAAGGAGATCCCCCAAGCGAGGCACATCCGATCCGTGCTGGGGGGCCAATCTGCGAAGAGAACTGGGGGGCACCCCTCCGAAGCTTGCGGTGTTTTCAGCCCTGGCGCCAGCGAATCATAGGCTGAGACAATCTTATGTTTTCTTCTTCGGGGGAACCAACAAGTGCCGATACCGCAAATCCCCGGAGCTCTCCCGGGGCGCGTTCTGACCAGCATCTCGAGGCTAATCCAGCAAGAGCGACGAGGGCCTCCCATGAAGCCCCAAATGGCGAAGACGGGCCGAAGGTATCGGTATGGGTAGCTTTTCCCCCCTTAATTCTTAGAGCCTCTGGGCTCCCGTAGATGAGGCCGCCGGAGTGGTAGAGGCACACTTGTGAGGGACATAAGGGCACCCCTCCGAAGCTGACGCTTTCCTTACCCCTCTCGCCAGCTAGTCATAGGTTGAGGCAACGTTTCTCCTTCTTATGAGGAAAACAATGGTTGTGTTGGGAGGAAGGGGTTGGGAGAATGAAGGGTATGAACAATAGCACCCCAATGCAATGAACGATACCTTCGGCCACCTACGGGTAGGGATGTCCTTAATAGAAGAAAAAAACGCCATAAACATAAACTGTTGGCGCTCCGCGCGGGCTTCTTGGATCTGCGCTGGACCCCCCTCCCCGGCGCGCGGGGCGCGCCAAGGGCGGCGCCGAAGGCGCCGCCGGGGGGGGGCCAGCGCGTATCCAAGAAATCCGCGCGGAGCGTCAAACATTAATGTTTATGGCGTTTTGTCGTCTTCGATTCAGAGCCTCCGGGCTCCCGTAGATGAGGCCGCCGGGGCGGTAGAGGCACCGTTGCGAGGAACATAGAGAGACACCTAACCAAATGCCATGAACGACATGCCTTCGGCCTCCTACGGGTAGGGATCTTCTTTTAGTCTCCAGGCTCCCGTAGTACAGTGCGGGCGCGGCCGCAAGAAACCCTCGCAAGAAACCCAGCCCTGAGAACCCGTGCGCGAGGTGCACCTGAGGGAAACCTGGAGAACGCTGAACGCAGCAGCTTCTTCAACGGCTGCGGGAAGTCACCGCGCAGCGCGAGGAGCGAAGAAACCCAGGATACCCTGACGAAAAGCGAATGGTTTCCTGATTCGGCTTTGGACAATACCTCCCTTTAGTACACCTCCCTTTAGTGAAAACGGCCTGGGACCGACACCGACGGACCTGGACCCACAAAAAACGACGGCCGCGACGCCCTCTCGCGAACCGAAGACGGCCAGTTCCTTCATCGACGTGTCAGGGTGGGAGGTCTGTCCACCTCCGATTGATGCGCGCCCCAACTTCGGGAGCGGCCAAGAGGGGGGTGTCCAAGAGGGGGGGGTGCAAACCATGGCTGGCGACATGTGCGCGGCCCTTGGGGGGGGGGCCAGGGACGTAATGAAATAAGAAGAGGCACCATGAAATCTGGGGAAATATCATGACCCCCGTCACGATATCCACCCCCCCCTAATCATCACCCCCCTCTCTTTCCCGCCCCCGACAACTGCAGAGCCTCCGGGCTCCCGTAGATGAGGCCGCCCGAGTGGTAGAACAGGAGCAGGGGCGGGGCCGCCGCCGCGGCGGGAGCCGCGCGGGGGCGGCGAGAGCTCCGACCCCCTCGGCCTGCGGAGCCCGCGGGGGGTCCAGGAGGGGGGCGCCCAGGAGGGGGGGGGGTAAAGGACAGCCCGAGGCGCAGAGGAGGTAATTTTACGGTCGATCGTGCCCCCTACAGGGGGATTTGGGATGAAAAATAGAAAATACGCAAAAAAATGTTCAAATGATGTACGAACATACCCAACAACATAGTCCCCATATTATTTCTTGACAATTTTTCAATGTTCCCCCTGTAGAGGGACAGGCCCGACTTAAAGGGCATTCAAGTTGCCCATGCCTTCAATTATACCCTTCCCTCGTTCTCCTCTTCTTGGGCCTCCTGCAGGGCGGTCCTCGTCGCCACCGCTGGCGCCGCCCCGAAGTCCTGGTCAGAACGCGCCCCGGGAGAAGTCCGTGGAGCAGCGGTCTCGGTACCTTTTGATTTCCCCAGAGGCATTTGCTTTCGACCTCCCCGGGGGCCCTTCTACTGGGCCTCGGGACCGTCAAACAACGGCTCAGGATGAAAAGCCAGTCTCTGGGAAGGGGTCGAGACCTCTGGAGGTCGACGTGGCGACAAAAAACGACGCCAGGGGTTGAGGATGAGAGGGGGGAGGGGGCCAAGGGACGTGTTGAGAGAAGGAGGAGGGGCCATGAAATCAGGGAAGATTGCATGGCCCTGGCCTTGATATCCACACCCCGCACCCCCAGGACCGGTTCAACTCGTCCCTGATCGCTTTTGACGCTCCCGAGGCCCGGCGAGGGCTCCCAGAGGCCCGAAAACGGCCGAAATCCCGCCGCCCCAACTGTTTCGGGGAGCGCTGGATCTCTGGGACAGAGGCGAGGCACCGATAGGCAGCATCCCACAGCATCGACTCTCCTCCTCCTCCTCCTCCTCCTCCTCCTCCTCCTCCTCCTCCTCCTCCTCCAGCTGTTCTGGGGACGGCCCTGTCGTTTCCCAGGGCCTACTGGGCATCCGAAGTCGCGGCGATGCGCCGCGCAGTGCGCGAAGCCCAGCCCTCTCCGCGCCCTCTTCTTCTTCTTCTTCTTTTTCTTCTTCGTCTTCTTCTTCTGATTAGTATTAGTATTCCCATATCGTCATTATTTGTATGACTCTTCTTCTTCTGTTTATTAGTATGTTTCTTCTTCTGATTAGGTATCTACATCCCATATTGTTATTACTATTATTCCTCCTCCTCCTCCTCCTCCTCTTCCTCCTCCTCCCCCTCATCCCCCTCCCCCTCAGCCCCCTCCCCTGGTGCTCGCGCTGGAGTCCTGCGAGCCTGCGTGCGGGCGCCCCTGGCGGGCGTCCCCAGCGGAGACGGGGCTGCGGCGGCGGCGACGGCGAGGGAAGGGATCGACATCGACCCCTTCCCTCGCCGTCGCCGCCGTCCAGGGGAACAAACAACGGCACCAGCATGCACTTTTGACGGTCCGCGCAGATCTCTTGGATCGGCGCGGGGGGCGCCGCCAGGGAGGCCCAGCGCAGCGCCAGGGAATGCGCGCGGGACGTCGAACATTTACCTGCGTGTGTGTGTGTGTGTGTGTGTGTGTGTGTGCGTGTGTGTGTGCGTGTGTGTGTGTGTGTGTGTGTGTGTGCGTGTATGTGTATGTGTGTGTGTGTGTGCCGCTTCTCCTGCTCCGAGTGGAGCCTAGGAGAGACGTCATGCCGGCGGTGGACAAACCTCCCTTTAATACACCTCCCCTTAGTGGAAACGGCCTGGGACCGACACCGACGGACCTGGACCCGCAAAAACGACGGCCGCGACGCCCTCTCGCGAACCGAACACGGCCAGTTCCTGAATCGACGCGTCAGGGTGGGAGGTCTGTCCACCTCCGATCACTGCGTGGCCGAGGGGGGTGGGCGCTCGCCGTGCCCGCAGACGGCGGGGAGAAGGCCAGGACCCGGGTCTGGCGCGGCCCCACCCGCGCCTCGCGCCGCGCGGCGCCTGCGCACAGCCGGCGGGGGACGGCCGGCGGTGCACAGAAGGTCGGCACTTCAGGGATGCGGTCGACGCCGGGCACGCATGTGCTCCAAATCCTTTATTCATCATCCCCTTTGAAGGCGCCTTTTTTGTGACTGGGAGTGTGCGGTCTATTAGGGCGCTTTCTTTGGATCGGAGCTTGGGGGGTCCAATGTATTGAGGCGCCCCGTCGAAGAGAGGGTCCAGAATATTGGGTCGCATTTGGAGGGGCGTCCGGTTTTTTAGGGGGGGCGACTAATGAGGGATCTGGAGTAGATTGGCACTTGCGTTAGCATCTTGGCCCAGAGCGCTCAGCACGCGAGGCCACTGCTGGGTTAGCAGAATCCCACGGGGGCCAACCCATACCCGTGTCACGAAGCATCCCCGCCACAGCAAGAACGGTGCACCCATCATCATCAACATCATCATCACCATCACCATCATCATCATCATCATCATCATCATCATCATCATCATCATCATCATCATTACCATCACTATCATCATTAACATCACCATCATGAACAACATCATCATCAGCATCATCATCATCGTCATCATCATTATCATCATCATCATCATCAGTGTCATCATCATTATCATCATCATCATCATCATGATCAGCATCACCATCATGATCATGATCATGAGCATGCTCATGATCATCATCACCAGCAGCATCAACATCAGCATCAGCATCGTCATCATCATCAACATCAACATCCATCATCATCACCATCATCGCCGACACGGGTCAACCCGTACGAGAAGGACGCGCAACGACATACTAGTACTATATGTCCTCCTTGGAGGCACGCGCCCGACCCGAACACACAGTATGCCCATCTTGTAGTATATCGTTTCTCGAACGGTGCGGCCAGAAAACGCCCGCCACGACACATGTACTATAAGATTTCTCGGTGCACGCGTCGCCCGTGGGGGGGGCGACGCACACACAGTATTAGTATGTCGGGGCGGCGCCAAGAACATTATCCCCAGGGCAAGCGGTCGGGGACCCCCTGGGGGGCCACGGATCGAAAAATATATTTCGGCTGATATATTGGGGCCACAATAGGGGATCGACCACAAGAGGCCTTCCACAAGAACCCAACCCTGATACCCCAGGACGTCCATTGAATGTTGGTGCGGGAGCGTCGCGCTTGCCAGAACAAACACCATCGACACCCAAGAAACCCAGGGTACCTTGGCAGGCAGACAGGATGCTTCTTGGCATGGGCCTCTACGGTAAGCAAGGAACGAAGCCCCCTTTTCTGGTCCAAGAGGCAAGTGGGTGCCAGAGAAGCGGCACAGGGGCCACCACGGAATGACCCCAGAGGACCAGCGGGCCTCCTCTGCACCCGAACTGCCCCCTGCTTCGGCGCCTTGGCCGCAGCCCTGCGCGGGACAGATCCGACTCGGAAGCCTCTCCCCTCGGCTAGGACCCAGGACCTTTTTGAAGGGGCCCTGGGACACACAAATACATGCACACAAATAGCAGGATCCACCATATTTCCCAATATTTTCTTGGTTTTCGTCTTCCCCCCCACTTCCCACATTTTCCAATATTTTCTGGGGAGTCGACGATTAATTGTGTCTGTGTGTTTCTTTCCTTCCTGATTAGCGTGCCGCGCCGAGGCGTGGTGAGCCAGAACCGGCAGCGCGGTACGCCAAGCAGATGCTTCCTGACCGTCTCCTGAGGGCCCTACGTAGAGGCCTCCTATATGGGGTCCGAGTAGATGGGGTCGGAAGATCCCGCCGCATCGCCAATGCATCGCCGACGCATCCGCGATGCATCGACGATGCATCGACGATGCATCGGCGACGTCGGCGGTGTATCGGAGAAGCCAGCGCGTCTCCTGAGGGCCCTATGGTTAAGTCGGGCGTGTCCCCCTACAGGGGGACTTTCGACGAAAAGTACAAACAATAACCAAAAATAATCAAAACATAATCCAAAAATAGTCCAGGGACTATTTTTGGTGTATTGTTTTACCTTCTGGGGGTATTGTTTGAATCGTTTTTTATAACAAATTGTTCGTCGAAAATACCCCCGTGGGGGGACAGGCCCGACTTCACCCCATGGGGCCCCGCGCGCCAGGGCCCCATCTTCGAGCCACCGACACGAGGAGGGGGGTGGGAAGGGGGGGGAGGGCGTCTCAGAACGCCTGCCAGCCCTCGCGCTCCCAGCTCTGTGGTCGGGGGTGGGCCCCAGGGGGAGGAGTCCGGAGAATCACGCTTCGACCGGATGCCCAAGGGGCGGGGGAAGGTCCTCGTGGCGCTGGTGTACCGCTGCTCGTCGGCGTCGCGCTCGAGGCATTACCCAACACCCAGCTCGGGAAGGCATCGCGTGCCTCCTCGCTGGAGGCGGCTCTCCTGGCGGTCGTGGTGCCGCTCTCCCCTCCAGCGGGTTGCACGCCAGGGGGCTCTCCGACGAGGATCCGAGGCTGCGTAGGAGGTCTTGGCGGGCGGGATGGCTCGTAGGAAACTGCCGGATCTCTCAAAAAACGGCCGGCCCCTCGCGCCACGCTCTTCTGCGCGCCACCGGGATGGTGTTCAAGCCGTGCAGCCTGAAGCATATCTCCACACACATCCGGACGATGGCCACCCTGAACATCATGCTCTTGTCTGGCGGCCCGTGCCAGTATGGTGGGAAGCGGAGGAGGCATGCTTGCCTAGCCTGTTCCCTTCCTGCAGCCACGCGGCAAAAGTTCGTGTCAGGCACGGGGAAACAAAGACACGTGACTGGAATCGGAGCCTCTCCGCCTCCTCTCCCCTTCCCCTTCAGCCCTCTCTGCCTCCCCCCACCCACTCTCCCCCCCCCACGCCCTCCTTCGTCACGGGTGGGTGGGGTCAGGCTTGCACGCTCCCGCTTCCCAGATGGAGGGCTGAAGATAAACTGGGCATAGAGATTGTCCAGCAGCGCAAAACGCCACCTCCAGCTGAGTAGGGCACGGACACCCAGGCCGCCTGCGAGAACCCTGGCGGCAATCCTCCAGTCGCATGCGCTGTCCATCCCGCGGGGCAATCGAACGAGAGCTGCACGGTCTAATGCTGGCTGGCACCACACCGAGAGCGACTGCGGGCGCTTCAGGGAGCCTGTCCCAGCATGGTCAGAACCGCAACAGCTTGAACCAGATGGCCGTGAAAGGGGGAGCGACGAGAGAATGGCGCCGACCATGGACCCTGATACTCAACAACGTGAGCAGCGTGAGCTTGAGGCGGAGGAAAACAAGAACGAGGAGGAGGAGGAGGAGGAGGAGGAGGAGGAGGAGACGGAAGAGGCGGAGGAGGAGGAGGAGCAGGCTCCCTGACACGCTCCGCGCGCACTTCCTGGGCCAGTCCAGGCAGCTCCTGGCGGCGCCTCCGGCGCGGCCCCTGACACGCTCCGCGTGCCTGGGAGGGTGGTGCGGCGCCGACCCGAGAAATGCGAACAAACCCCGCAACGTACAGGGCTAGGAGCCCGTGCTGGTCTTCGAGCCGTGCGCAGCAGCGGCGTCCACTGACCCAACTCTTTGCGACAACCGGGCGTCGAAGCAGGGGCGGCCGGAGGACGAGCGGGAGGAGAGGCGGGGAGGACGGAGGAGCGAGGGAGAAGAGGCAGGGGGGAGGGAAGGACTGCGAGGACGGACGACGGAGAACGTCGGGGGGATGGGAGGATCATGGGGGGGACGAGGGTGATACTCTGGAGACTCTGTCTGATCGCGCAGCGAGATGAGTGCTCCGATCCGCCTGCACCCACTGCGGTGCTGTGACACGGTGACCTCTCTGGACGGTCTCAGCCTGGCTGCGCACCTTTGGCCAGAGGCCCGAAGCGAATGCGTCCAAGATACTCGCGCCCCATAGCAGTGGGTGTGTCACATGTGACGGCCAGTTTCCCCCTCTGCAGGAGGGAGGGCGATCAGGAACATCGTCTGAACAATTCGTATCCTCTCCCAGCGGCTCTCGTCACGAGAAGAATGTGGAGGAGCAGGAATAAAAGAGGCAGATTGCCGGAGGTGAGCAGGCCGAGCTGGAAGAGTGAGGGGCTCGTCGCTCCCCGCCGCCATGCCTCGCCTCCTTCTTCCTCCTCCTCCTCCTCCACCTCCTCCTCCTCCTCCTGCCCCTCCTCCTCCTCCTCCTCCTCCTCCTCCTCTCACGCCCTTCTTTCTTCTAGTCCTCCTCCTCCTCCTCCTCCTCAATCCTCCTCCTCAATCCTCCTTCTCCTCCCTGTCCCTCCCTCCGTCCCTCTTCCTTTTCCTCTTACTCCCTCCGCCTCCGCCACCTCCCTCCTACGTCTTCCTCTCGCTCCTCCTCCTCCTCCTCCTCCTTCTCCTCCTCATCCTAAGCCTCTTCCCCTCCCGCTGCCTCCTCCTCCTCCTCCTCCTCCTCCTCCTCCTCCTCCTCCCTCCCGCTCCCAAGGTGAGCACCAGCAGCAGCAGGTGAGGGGAGGAGAAACAAGGGGGAGTATTCTCGATTATGCTGCTGATGCCTCCCGTGGATGGATCTCACCAGGAAAGCCGCCTTGCTCGCTGTTAGCTGACACTCGCATGGGAGCCCCTGTCGTTGGGTGGCGGCCCCTCCAAGACGCGATCGTCTGCCTTGGCCGTCGGAGCTTCGGCCTCTTTGCAAGGGGCCCTGACCTGGTTGGTCCAATTACACTTCGCACAGGACGGGCAGCGCCTGCAGAATACAACAGTGGGCCGGCACACCACAGGGTGCCCCAACGTTTGTGCCTTCCAAGAGCTATTCTGCGGGGCGTCGGCAAATTCGTCGGAATCAATACCCGTCGGCTCGCCCAGAGTCGGATGGGGGGCGGGGGAGGCGGCAGAGGAGGAGGGGCATCAAAATGAGGAGGATGATGACGATGATGAGGAGGAGGAGGAGGAGAGACCAAGGGAAAGATCAAGCTCATGGTATCCGATTGCCCCGCCAACAAAACGGAAGGAGTAGCCCACGCACGGTGCACCGCCGCATCGCTCACAGTGGGGATGCCATAAGACTGCCTGAGAGCGGAGCCAAGCAGCTGAAGCAACAGCAGAGGTCACCAGAGTCGACGGACAAGAGAGGAAAAGACATGGTGGGGTGCACCAACCTGCGTGCGAGCGCCACGACATATCACGAGTGTTGCGAGGGTGGGCGGAAACCACCGAAGTGCGGCCATCCGCGACAGCAGCAAGCAGAGGAACAATAGCGGCGGCGTAAACCGAGCGCGCAACCAAACCATTCTCTACTTCGCCACCAACTATACAAGACGTGCACTAAGACAGAAGAGAAAAAGGAAGAATGAGAGGAATGAAAGGATGATGAGGAGGACGAGGAGGAGGAGGAGGAGGAGGAGGAGGAGGAGTAGGAGGAGGAGGAGGAGGAGGAAGGATGAGGGGAATGAACGGAGGAGGAGGAGGAGGAGGAGGAGGAGGAGGAGGAGGAGGAGGAGGAGGAGGAGAGAGGAGGAGAGAGGAAGGGAGAGGAGGAGAAAAGGAGGGAGGAGGAGGCGGAGGAGGAGGACCAATATAAACCCAAGAGTCATCAACGATGTCGGAATCACCCTCCGTCCAACCTCCCTATTCACAGGCCCCTACATCGGTTCATTCCCATTGACGGACCTGCCTCGTTGGAAGGCAACCGTTTGAAGACCCTGAAGCATGGCAAAACAAACATCATTCTCGGGATTCCAACGCCACGGACCAACCGGACTGCTGAACGCCATTCCTGTGACTTCAACACAGCGAATCAAGGTACTGCTGTGCCCTATCAATTCAGAATCCTTCCAAAACGCGATACTTTGTATTTTGAATATTGGAACCAGTGAAACTCTTGCAAAACTTTGAAACGAATGATCGCGGCGATTCAGCGAGAGCCACATGTTTTAAAAAGAACCGCCCTCAATGCGTAAAACTGTTGGAAAAAAAACGAATGTGCGCGGCACTGGGCGAAGACCACATGTGAAAAACGGCTATCCCTCAATCCGGCAACCTCTTGCAACGTCTTAAATCGAATGTGCGCGGCGCCAAGACGAGAACCACATGTTGAAAACAACCCGCCCTCAATCCGTGAAGCTCGGGCATCCTTTAAAAACACATGTGCACTATAACCACACGGCCCGCCCTCCATCTGTTAAGCTGTTGCCAAGTTTGAAGCTTCAGGGCCCTAAATGTTGAGGAAGTCCCAAGCGAAACGCCTGCCCCGCCCTAACAACTGGCCTCGGGGTGCGCCAGGGAAAACTTACTTACAAGGAAACGAATGGAGGAGGAGGAGGAGAGAGGAGAGGAGGAGGAGGAGGAGGAGGAGGAGGAGGAGGAGGAGGAGGAGGAGAAGGGAGCAATATGATGATGAGGAGGAGGAGGACGAATGTAAACCAAAGAGTCATCAACGATGTTGGAATAAACCCTCCCTCCTACCTCCATCTTCACAGGTCCCTGCAAGGATTCATTTCTGCTGATTGAACTGCCTCGCTGGAAGACATCCACTTGAGGACCCTGAAGCATGCGAAAACATTATTCTCGGGACTCCAACGCCACGGATCAGCTGAATGTTGCGTCTTGACCTTCCTGAGTCGTGCCAGAACGCAATTCCTGGGACGTCAACACCGCGAACCCACGTAACTGTTGCACCCTCATAATCCTGACTCTTTCCAAAACACATTTCCTGGTGCGCTGACCATGGGAATCCGTGAACCTCTCGCAAAGTTTGAAACCGAATGTGCGCGGCACAATGGCGAGAACCACATTTTGAAAACCAGCCGCCCTCAATCCGTGAATCTCTTGCAATGTTTAAAACAAATGTGCGCGGCACAAGCGCCAGAACCACATGTTGGAAACGACCAGCCTTCCATCTGTGAAACTGTTCCCAATTTTGAAGCTTCAGAGTCATGAGTGGTGAGGAAGTCACAAGCGAAACTCCTGGCCCGCCCTTCCAACCGGCCTCGGGGTGCAACACGGACTAATAATTTCGGAGGAGAAGGAATGGAGGAGGAGGAGGAGGAGGAGGAGGAGGCGGTGGAGGAGGCGGAAGAGGAGGAGGAGAAAGAGAAGGAGGAGGAGGAGGAGGAGGAGGAGGAGGAGGAGGAGGATCTCCTCCCTCCCGGGGCCCGAGGAAGCGGCATTCCGCTCCCGACCGCACGCCGATCACCGCGACCGCAGGCCCTCCTGAGCGCCGGGGCCAGCAGCCCGGCTTCGACGGGTGAGCAGGGGGCGCATCCTTCTTGGGGGGCAGGGCGGCTGGCCGATCGGAGGCGAGGAGGGCGGGAGCGAGCCGGGAGGGAGGCCTGCTCTCTCCTCCCCTCCTTCCTTTCCTTCCTTCCCTCTCCTCCCCTCCTCCCCTCCTCCCCTCCCTCTCCTCCTCCCCTCCCCTCCCTTCCCTTCCCCTCCTCCCTTCCCTCTCCCCTCCCTCCCCTCCCTCCCACCTCCCCGCCTCCCCTTCCCACCCTTCTCAGGTCAGACCTGGCGTGTAGCAGCGTGCGTGGCGGAGCGCAGCCCCTATGCCCAAGGGGGAGGGCCCTCACGGGCAGGGAGGTCCCCGGGCCGAGGCGCGAGGGAGGGAGGGAAGGAGGGGGGGATGGAGGGAGGGAGGGAGGGAGGGAGAAGAAGTAGGAGGAGGAGGAGGAGGAGGGGAGGAGGAGAAGGAGGAGGGGAGGAGGACGAGGATAAGGAGGAGGAGGAGGAGGAGGAGGAGGAGGAGGAGGAGGAGGAGGAGGAGGGGAGGAGGACAAGGATAAGAAGGAGGAGGAGGAGGAGGAGGAGGAGGATGAGGAGGAGGAGGAGGGGCCTCTCGAACCAACGACCGGGCCCCTGGGCGATCAAGCACGCAGCGGGGACGAACAACTGGCTCGGGGGGAGCGGCCGAGACCTTCCTGGGGTCGCGGAAAACCAGCTTGGTGGATGTCAGAAGGGGGAGGGTGGGAGGGAAGAGCAGGGAGTAAAGGAGGGCGGTAGGGAGGATGAGGGAGGGAGGGAGGGAGGGAGGGATAGAAGGGGGGAGGGATGGAGGGAGGGAAGAACAAGGAGGAGGGAGGGAGGGAGGCAGCCGGGAGCGGAAAAGGAGGGATGCCCAGACCCCCGACGCAGCTCTTTTCTAGCTGGGCGCTCTTCCTTCATGTCGGCCTCGAAAGGACGTCTTCGGGCCATGGGACCATCAAAAAGAGGTCGGCCCTCCTCCTCCACGTCGTCCTCCTCCTCCTCCTCGTCCTCCTCCTTAACACCTCCTCCTAACTACCTCTCCTCTTCCTCATTACCTCTATCTTTTTCATCTGGCGTACTCGTCGTCATGCCTATCCCTCCGCCTCCTCCTCTTCCTCTTATTTCTCTAACTCTCCGGATTTACAGATTTATCATGTTGCTATGTTTCGGGGTACAAAAGAAGACCCGATACCGCTACTCCCTGGACCTCTCCCAGGGTGCCTTCTGATCAGAACCTCGACGCGAATCCCACCGTGGCGACGAGGGCCTCTCAGGAGACCCCGAAATGCGGAGACGAGGGAAGGATAGCGGTATCTACACCTTCTCCTCCTCAGAGGTCGACTCCAGAAGCCTCGGTCCCATCTTCTGCACAGGTGTCGTAGGGTGGACGGTTTTCTGCGTGGCCCCGCGAGCGGACCTCTGACAACCCGAGCTCAGAGAAGGATGCCGATACGCGTATGTGCAAGTATGAATGGGTATACGGATCTGTACATGTGAACATGCATATGTATATGGTTATGAATATGCACATGTGCATGTGTGTACATGTAAGTGCATATCATATGTATACGCACACGTATACACACATGCATGTGTAGTTGCATGCGTACATGCATATCCATACTTACACGTATACATATAAATGTATGTACACACGCATGTACGTGTCTGTACATACATGTATGTGTGTGCATGCATGCATGCATCCATGCATAAATGCTTGGATGTTTGTGCATGTCCGTATGTATGTATGTGTGTATGTATGCATGGGTGTATGGATGGATGGATGTGTATGTATGTATGTATGTATGTATGTATGTATGTATGTATGTATGTATGTATGTGTGTATGTCTGTATTTATGAATGGATGTATTTATGTATGTATGTGGGTGTGTGTCTGTATGCATACATGCATGTGACTGTGTGTCTGTGTAGGTGTGCGTATATGTATGAATGCACCAATGCATGACACCATGCAGATACGTATGCGTGTGTGCATGCATGCACGCGTGACTGTTTACCTGCGTGTGTGCATGCCTGTATGTCTGTATGCATGTATGCATGTGTGGATGCATGGATGCATGGCTGCATGGATGCGTATGCATGTTTGTATGCGTGCATGCATGTATGTATGGTTGTACGTATGTGTATGTGTATGCATGCGTGCGTTCCTGCATGCATGCGTGCATGCGCGTGTGTGTGTGTTTATGTAGGAATGCCTGTATTTGTGCGTGCATGCATGTATGTATGTAGATTAGCAGGTTTGCATGTTTCGTGAATGACAGCGCATACATTTCTATACAATTTATACATACATGTGTATATATATATATATATATGCATGTGTATGTATCCCCTGTTTCATATAGTTGCAATCTGGGGGGTGGGGAAAACCCCCACCCCAATAACCTGGCGACGAACCCAACCAACTACAATTGTAAGTACCGCAACTGTGTGTACGATCTGAGGTGACACTCCATATGGGGCACCGCCCGCATGCGGGCTGCGCCGCTGAGGCCTTCGGTGGAACACCCTGTGGAGCCACGACACGCGAGAAGGGTGTGCTGGAACGGGAATGTCGCCTAAATGCGGGCTGCGCCACTGGGACCGTAGGTGGAGCCCCCTGTGGGGCCACGAAGCACGTGAGGGGTGTGCAGAAAAGAGGGTGAAGCCCACATGCGAAAGATGCCACTGATGCCTTAGCTGGAGCTCCCTGCGGGGCCACGGAGCGCGTGAGGGGTGTGCCAAAACGGAGGCGACGCCCACATGCGAAAGGTGCCACTGGGGCCTTAGCTGGAGCTCCCCATGGGGCCACGAATCGCGTGAAGGATGTGCCAAAGCGGGAACGCCGCCTACATGCGAACGGTGCCACTGTGACCGTAGGTTGAACTCCCTATGGGGTCACGAAGCGTGTGAGCGGTGTGCCGAAACGGGAGCGACGCCCACATGCGAAGGGTGCCACTGGGGTCTTAGGTGGAGCTCCCTATGGGACCATGCAACGTTTGAGGGGTGTGCCGAAACGGGGGCGACGCCCACATGCGAAGGGTGCCACTGGGGCCCTCAGGTGGAGCTCCCCATGGGATGTGTATGCCGAAACGGGGGTGACGATGACGATGACGACAACGATGATGCTGATGGTGATCATGAGGGTGACGACGAGATGGTTGGGAACAGGACCCCTGAATCCGTGGCCCAGGGGGCCCCGTGGACACCCCTGCCATGCCTAAGGGCTGGACCCAAATCGGTCAGGAGGGATGCCGAACGGCCATGCGGCCCCGCGAGAGCCCCAGGAGGCCCCAGACACCCACCAGACGCCCGAAGGCGACCCAAAGAAGACCCCCTAAGAGGCATTCGCAACGAACGAGAAAACTTGTGGAATGCTCTGTTCTTGGGTCTGCTGGGCGTCCGAGACCGCCCAGAAGACGTAAGAACATCACCACGAAACCACCCAAAAGGGCTTCCAGGAATTCCAAGAGAGCCCGAACATGGCCCAACAGGGCCCCAAAATTGCCCGAGGAGAGCCCCATGACGGTCCAAGATGGCTCCAAGACGCCCCCCGAAGCATTCCAAATGGTGAACCAGTCGTTCAGGGAGACCGCGGTTGGAAGCAGGGTGGCCCGAGGAAGCCCCCAGAAGCCCCCAGAAATAACCAAGGAGTTAACGCTAAATGTGCAGTTGTATCTTCCTGACCTTCTGCCTGCACGCCGAACGTGCAGGGCCAAGGTGCATGGCGCGAAGCGCCAGTGCAGTCCTGTATCTACACATATATATATATATGTGTGTGTGTGTCCAGATATGAAAATGTAGAACAGTGCATGAACAGTTACATGTATATATGTCGTCATGCATGTATGTGCGCATATACAGAAATTCATTTGTGTAGTTGCACCTTTGCAGGCCCTCCCCCCTCCTCATCAGACTCTCCTCCCCCTCCCCCCTCCCCCTCGTCCCACCTCTCTCCCCCTCCCCCAGTTGCCGCCCCTCTCCTCCCGCCCCCTTCTGCTGTATACATATATATATATACACACATGTGGCGCAAATGAGTCCGCGCGGCCTCAGCAAGTGCCAAGATGAACAGCAGTGCCTGGGCCACGGTGCAAAGGCCATCTTGATTCATTGGCTCAGCCCGTGCGATCTGTACCAAGATGGCCCCAGGTCATATGCCACATCGGGCCACTGTGCACCACAGGGTGGTGCCTCCAGGAACCTGGGCCCACTAACGGGGTGAAGGCGCACCAAAGCCATATTACCTCAAGTCCTCCAAACCCCCTTCTCCTCCTCCTCCTCCCCTTCCAAATCCTCCTCCTCATGTCCGCCTCCTCCGACGACGACGACACCGACAACCACTACTTACGACGAACCCGACGCCGATGATTAGGACGACGGCAACGACGAGGAGAACGACGATGAGGTCGAGGTCGGCGACGAGGCCGGCCGTGATGCCAAAGACCCCGAAAACAAGGACGACGACGACGACGACGACGACTATGACGGCGGCGACGACCACAACATTCATGTTGAGAGCGACGACGCCGACGTCCGCCGGACGGCAGTTCCTGCCGTATTGGCGGCGGCACCGCTGCATCCCTGGCAGGGGCCTTGTCGGATCGGGCCCGCCAATCAATTGCTCATGACTCTGCAACTGGTGCTGCTGCGGCCGCTTCTGCAACTGATGCCACTGCCGCTGGTCATACGACCTCGGCTATGCAAACTTCTACTACAAAAATAGCCCTTGTTGATACACCTAGTGTTGCTACTGCAACTGCGAATGCCTGCTGGAACACGAATACTCCTTTCCTGTTGCCACTCCTAGAATACTGCTACTGCTGCTGCCACTACTACTTTTACGACTACTACGGTGACTACTTCTACTACTACTACTACTACTACTACTACAACTACTACTACTACTACTACTAGTACTACTACAACAACAACAACTACAACTACAACTACAACTACAACTACAACTACAACTACAACTACTCCTACTCCTACGCCTACTCCTACCCCTGCTACTACGACTACTACGACTACTACTACTACTACTACGACGACGACGACTACTTCTACTACTACTACTACTACTACTACTACTACTACTACTACTACTACTCTACTACTACTACTACTACTACTACTACTACTGCTACTGCTACTACTACTACTACTACTACTACTACGACTACTACTACTACTACTACTAAGACTTCGACTACGACTACTACTACTACTACTGCTACTACTACTACGACTACTAATAATAATAATATTAAAACTACTACTACTACTACTACTGCTACTATTACTAATACTACTACTACTACTACTACTACTACTACTACTACTACTACTACTAATACTAACACTACTACTACTACTACTACTGCTGCTACTACTACTACTACTACTACCACCACCACTACTACGTAAGCTACTACTAGTGCTACTACTACTACGACTACTACTATTACTACTACTACTATTGCTACGACTACTACGGCTACTACGACTACAACTACGACTACGACTAGTACTACTGCTACTACTACTACTACTACTACGACTACTACTACCACAAATACTACTACGACTACTACGACTACTATACATACGACTACGACTACTACGGCTCGTATTACTAGTGCTAGTAGTAGTAGTAGTAGTAGTAGTAGTAGTAGTAGTAGTAGTAGTACGACTCCTACTATTGCAAATCATACTAATCATACTACGACTACTACGACTACTACGACTACGGCTACGACTACGAGTACCACAACTACGACAGAAACAATAATTACTATAATGGCAACTACTACGACTACTCGTACCAGTACGAAAACTATTACTACCACCACCACAGCCACCACCACTACTACTAAAACTACGACGACTGCTACTACTACTGCTACTACTTCTACGACTACGACTAAGATTATAGCTACGACAACGACAACGACGACTACAACTACAATTAAAATTACAACGCCACATACGACACGTACGACGACGACTACAACTTCTACTACTACTGCTAGTAGTGGTAGTAGTAGTAGTAGTAGTAGTAGTAGTAGTAGTAGTAGTAGTAGTAGTAGTGGTACTACTACTACTACTACTACTACTACTACCACTACTACTATTACTACTACTACGACTACTACTTTCAGTACTAACACCGCTACTACTGTCAGCACGGTGGCGACTACTTTTGCGACCGGTACTGCGACTACGACTCCTCCTACTACTACTACAAAAGCTATTGCTATCCGGATTACTTCTGCTCCTACTGCTACTACTATCACTACCACGACAACTACAACTACCACTATTTCGACTACTGCGTATTACTGTCACTACAACGCCTACTAACACACAATCAACGACAGTGACTGCTACTACCACGCCTACTGCCACTTCTACTGCTACGGCGATTTGTTCTACGGTTTCCTCTACTGAGACTTCTACTACTACTGCGACTACGAAAACGACTACTACTACGACGGCGACGGAAAATACACCTACTATTCTACTACTACTACTACTACTGCTACTACTACTATGACTACTACTGCTACTACTACTACTACTACTGCTACTACTACTATGACTACTACTGCTACTACTACTACTACTACTACTACTAACATTACTACTACTACTACGACTACTACTACTACTACTACTACTACTACTACTACTACCACTACTACGCCTACTACCACTATTGCTACTTCTACTACGACTACTGCTATTACTGCTACTACTACTACTACTACTACTACTAGTGGTACGACTACTACGGTTACTACGACTACAACTACGACTCCGACTAGTACCACTGCTACTACTACTACTACTACGAATACTACTACCACAACTACTACTACTACGACTACTACGCTTACTACACATACAACTACAACTACTACGACTCGTACTACTAGTGCTTTTACTAGTAGTAGTCGTAGTAGTAGTAGTAGTAGTAGTAGTAGTAGTAGTAGTAGTAGTAGTAGTAGTAGTACGACTGATACTATTGCAAATCACACTTATAATGCTACGGCTACTACGACTACTACGGCTACGACTACGAGTGCCACAACTGGGACAGAAACACTAATTACTAGAACGGCAACTGCTACGACTACTCGTACCAGTACGAGAACTATTACCACCACCACCACAGCCACCACCACTACTACTACAACTACGACGACTGCTGCTACTACTGCTACTACTTCTACGACTACGACTAAGACTATGACTACGACAACGACAACGACGACTACAACTACAATTAAAACTACAATGCCACATACCACACGTACAACGACGACTACAACTGCTACTACTACTGCTAGTAGTAATAGTAGTAGTAGTAGTAGTAGTAGTAGTAGTAATAGTCGTACTATTACTACTACTACTACTACCACTACTACTTCCACTACTACTATTACTGCTACTAGGACTACTACTTTCAGTACTAACACCGCTACTACTGTCAGCACGGTGGCGACTACTTCTGCTACCGATACTGCGACTACGACTCCTCCTACTACTACTGCAAAAGCTATTGTTATCCGGATTACTTCTGCTACAATGGCTACTACTATCACTACTACGACAACTTCAACTACCACTACTTCGATTACTGCTTATTAC